ATTCATAAAAAGAGCATGAAAAATAAAAATCCTCTGAAATTGAGAATTGACATCATCTCTCAAATCGGATAAAATAATATGATGTATCATGATATAAAAATATAACACACCAATATGTTCAATATTGAAATGTATATGAGAAGTATACTTGTATAAACTCTGATATTGATGAGCTTGGAACATAAAAAAATAGTATATTACACATCGAGGTGGGAAATGATTCATTCCTGTCGTGAAATTAGTAAGTTAACCGAGACGCAAAGCGTCGTGGTTAGCTATAATCTCGAGACAGGAATGAAACTCCCTACCGAGGTTTGTATACTATTTTATTTACAACCATCATATTTCGATCAAAATTAATAAATCTCTGTTTCGTTCTGAACATACCTGAAATATTACATAAGTGAGGGCGGGAAGTAGTAAGGGCAAGAAGTGAGGGCGGGAAGTAGAGGTGTGTAATGTGACCCATCCCAACCGTCAATGACGTTAGTAATGACAACATTACATACAGGCGGGTGTTTAAAAAAAAACTGACTCCCTTACTAGGGTAGGTAGAACACTGCAAAATAAGTTGGGTTTTCTCAGTAAAAAAATTCCGTAACGGCATCCGTTATCAAGGTACAAGGTGTTGAACGAATCATTTTTTTAAACATTTCTCAAGATTTTGTCGAAACTACTAGCAACATTGTGATGACATTTTGTATGGATGTTTCTTGGAATCTGACACATCGCATGCATTCGTTTTTATATCTGACTCTCATAGAGGGCGCCAGTTACACGGTTCGTACCGAGTAGTTTTGAACATAACTTTTTTGAGGTTAGATTTCTCAATCCAAATTTGATGTGAACTTAAACATCATCCAATTTTACAACAGTAGTAGTAGTAGTAGTAGTATTGTGGGGAGGCTGTAGCCAGGCAAGTAGGCCCCCATGGGCCCTTTTTGCCAATTAACCCCTGCTCTCCACATATCTACACATCCCTCTTTTAGTTGTCCTTTTCGAACCTTCCCGTCCTTCTGATGAAGGTCAGGATGTCCGTCCACTCTAATTCGACCAAGTCTTCCTGTTGTAGTTTATCTACTCCAAAGATTTCGAATCTCGTCCTTCCATACGCCTCACACTCTCCGAGGAAGTGAAGTGATGTCTCCTCATCTTCTCCGCATTCGCGGCAAGTGGGACTATCTTCCACACCTATGAGTGATAGGTGTCTGCGTAACCTGTTATGCCCTGTCAGTATCCCTATAAGAAGGCGCAGGACTTGGCGATCCCTGCCCAGCAACCAAGCCGTCCTTGGCTTGCTTGGACCAACCACCAGGTCTCTCGATTGCCTGCAGCCGCCTATACGCCTCCAATATACTTCTAGTGCCTCGTCCGCCCATTTGTTAAGGGCAGACGAAGTTTGGCTTCTTGTTATGCCCAGTGCAGGCTCCGGTCCCCAGAACGGTGTCGCGGATCCGATTCTAGCCAGCTCGTCGGCCACCTCGTTCCCGGGCACCCCCCTGTGCCCCGGAACCCATACTAGTTCGACTTCCTTCTGTTCAGCTAGTTTCTCAAGAGCATCGCCACATTCCTGCACCAAGGCTGAGCTTGGTTTAGGATGGCAGACAGCCCTGAGAGCCGCCTGACTATCCGAGCAGATGTAAATCTTCTGCTCTGGTCCCTCTTTCACCTCATGCCTCTCCGCTACTGCCAGAATGGCAAAGACCTCGGCCTGGAAAAGTGTGGTATACTTTCCAAGAGCGTAGCTCTCCCTTATGCCTAATCCTTCTAGGTAAATTCCTGCGCCTGAATCTCGATTTGCTTCTCGCATTTCTTGATGAATCTCACGTGAGAGAATTTTTGAATAATTAGTTTCTGATGTACTTCGCCAATAACCCAATTTTAATTTGGTTTTACTGGACATTCTCCAGATTAAAAACTACTTGAATATGTTGGACTGTCAACTGAATATTTGGACTTAGCTTTTCAATTTTAATATTGTTCTCAATATGTTATAAGGTACTCATATATTACATCAATTTTGTGTCTGATGATGGCCTGTGGCCGAAACTAGTAACACGTCGCTTATTAAATGATTTTGTGGTCGACAGACTTTGGGATTTTTAATTGTTTTTTCTTTAAAATCAATTGGACCACTTTGAGAAAAATGGATGATTTCTATGATATCACTTAAATGACCTAACAGCTGATTCTCAACTGTCTACAAGAATAATACATTCTTAAGAATAGAATATAGAATCGTGTATTCGTCGAAACGTAGGACATTTTGAACACTTACTCTAACTGATTCAATATTTCATGTTTCTAGCCAAATAGCTCTTAATTTTCTAATTATTATTCTTTGTTTCATCAATAACTTCAGCACAAGAATGATTTTATTGTTTTTGAATCTGAATACATAGGTAATTGAACTCGATAAAATTCATTTTATACCATCATCAGCTCTTACCCCATTATCTTCAAATCGAAATATTCCGAAAACGGAATATAGTATCGAGTTTCACCAAGAGTACCTTTTTGGTGTAAAATTGAATGATGTTCAAGTTCATATCCTAATTGGATTGAAAAATCTAACCTCAAAAAAGTTATGTTCTAAACTACTCGGTACGAACCGTGAAACTACCGCCCTCTATGAGAGTCAGATATAAAAACTAATTCATGCGATGTGTCAGATTTCAAGAAACATCCATCCAAAATTTCATTACAATGATGCCAGTAGTTTCGACATAATCGTGAAAAATGTGTGAAAAAATAATTTTTTCAACATTTTGTATCATGAAAACAAATGCCGTTACGACATTTTTTCACTGAGCATACCCAACTTATTTTGCAGTGTTCTACCTACCCTAGCAAGGGGGTCAGGTTTTTTTGAAACACCCTGTATATGGTTGTAAATGAAAATACCTATTTGATTCTGGTCCTGGTCCCCCAGCAAAAAATCGATGCTATGCCCATGCGTCCGCATCTGCCGCGCCATTCGGCTTGAGAGTGACTGAGGTGGCGCCTAATTCGTGTTGACGTCCCGCGTTCGTTGATTCGGCGTTCCCCCTCCTCAGCGTCGCGACGCTGACGACGAGATAGACGGCGCTCTCTGCGCGCTCCAAAATAGCGACGCTATAATTCAGAGTAATTGCATAATTAATCGGGTTTAAATTGGATTCTTGTTTGGCCTTTGTTTGGGGTGAGAGACCTCGGAAAAATTGTTTGGTTGGTTATTGTTCGTAAACAATGAATGCATTAAAAAATTGCCAAGAGAGAAACTGAGTCCTGATGAATCACTTTTTATGATGAAGATGTTATTTCCTCTATCAATTTATCTTGGCCATTCAACGGAACACCGTATTTTTGTCAACTATATCAATTCAAATATTCAATTAAGAAAACCTGGTTATATTTCAAATTCGAATATCGATACAGCCAAGTGCTAATTTTCTACTCATTTCAATCAACGAACGCTCAAAATTGGGTTGTTGATAGACATCATGGAACAATGAACTTATTTATTTATTCATTTATAGAAAGCGTACAGCTGTTGAGCTTCATAACATGTTCTCATTTCCTAAAACTAAAATTGAAACTATGAACAAAATCGTGACTATTAGTAAAAACTATTTCGATTCAGTTAGTGATTCAAAAAAGACATTAAATCCCTATATATTAACAAGAAAAAAAACTTGAGACATACAATGGTGCACGTTCTGAGTTGATTAAGGAGAAAAGCAGGGGGGGGGGAAGTATGAGAAGAGAAGGTTAGTTGAATGGACGTACGGAATAATTTGTGTAGTTCCTTCTTGAGTGTTGACATGGAAACAGTAAATATATCCACATGATCAAGCAATTGTAGATATTTGTTGACAAAGACATATATTTCATCCATTGACAGGGGTATTCTAGTCAGAAGAAATAAGATTCTCATCGACAAAGTATTCATACTTAGAAATAAGAATTGGGAAACATTAATATGTAATATACAAATAACAATTTCGATATAATCACACCATAAGAAACACATAACATTAATTCAAAAAATATATAAAATAGATAGAAAAGTGTTTATAAAAAATATATACCAATATAAAATTTTTCCAAATAAAATTCATCTAACGAGTAGTAAGCTCTCTCCAGCAGAATATTCCTAACGGAACCTTTGAATTTCTTGACATTAGCAATGACATTAGTCAGCAGTCAATATGTTCTTCAAACCTGAATTTATCGTCAATGTGTAAACCCAGAAATTTTGTTACATACTTATTCCTTATTACTTGATTACCAATAAACAATACTTCTTGCAATTACGATACATCTTGATTGTGCCACAGAATCGTCGTGTCATCTGCAAACTTTGTAAATTTTCCTCGAATATCAGTAGATGCTGAATCATTCATATAGAGAATAACGAGAACTGGGCCCAGCACTGACCCTTGAGGCACTCCACACTTAACCCCTAATTTATCCGACACAATATTATTGATAGATACACGTTGAGGTCGTTCAGACGAATACGACTCAAACCATTGTAGTACTATATGTCTCTAAATCCATATCTTACCAATTTTTTCAGCAGAATTTTGTAGTCTTGGAATATACAGTGTAAGACAGGATAACAAGTATTCACAGTTAGTTTCATACGTCAACAGCTTGTGAACAAAACTTGTTTTCTCAGTCTATCGTCCATGTTCAATCTTCCATAAACTGAATTCATTCCTTAGTGTGTCATAAGATAGTGATTTGTGGATCTACCATATTTTTTTTTATATAAAAATGGGATGAATTTGTTTCTCACAGTTATTATATATTGATGCAAATTACAATCCACTTCGAACCAGAGTGAAATGTAGGGTTTTTATCGTACGGATCAGCTTATCATACCAATATTCATACTTACATCGATATCGCCATCGTTTACCGCCGAAGAATTTCTTCATTTTTGCTCTAGCTCGGAAATAAAAATGCTTTGAATCACAAAAATTCTGATTTTTTGTTTTGTTTCGTTTTCATAGGGCGAACTTACAATGACCTCAACCAATATCCAGTGTTCCCGTGGGTGCTCACGAATTACGAATCCAAAGAGCTGGACCTCAGCCAGCCGAACAACTACAGGGATCTTTCGAAACCCATAGGAGCCCTTAATCCCAGCAGACGAGCCTATTTCGAAGACAGGTACTCAACGTGGGAACACGAGAGCATTCCTCCTTTCCATTATGGCACGCACTATTCAACTTCTGCGTTTGTTTTCAACTGGCTAATCAGGATGGTGAGTAATAAGCGATGGTTCCCAGTTAGGTATTTTCAAAATTTATAATGAGGTAGGTTCCGGATACTACATGATGGTCTTGTCATGCTGTCGCCACCTAGTGGCGTTAGTTCTAAGGTAGGACTTTTGAGTGAGATCCCTACGTCTAACATTACAGAGTGCTACTACAAGTGAAACACTCTGCTGACAGATGGCACTACCTGACTACTTGAGTGGAAATCCACCAAATAATCTTTTTACTGAACTAGATCTCATAACTGAGAGATCTAGGATGAATTGGGGCAACTCTGTTCAATCTAGATCTCTCAGGTCTGAGATCTCACATATTCAAATAAACAGACTGTATACAGCATCAAGGAAACATAACTACACATTTTCCAGTTGTAAGCGTCTATCCAATTTCAGAAAGAGTCAATTGTCATTCAGAATAGACACTTTCATTACAGAAAGCAGCATTTTGTATTTTAGAATAGTCAATTGAATATCAAAAAGCGTCAATTGTATTTCAGAAAGTATCACTTCAATTTCAAATGATATTTCCTGAAATACAAATGACGCTTCCTGAAATTGAATTGACTATTCTGAAATACAACTAGAAAAAGTATCGTTCAGTGTAAAGGTAGGTAGGTACTTTCTATAGTCAGTCATAATTTTCTTGGGGATCGAGGTCGAATACCTCAAAAATGTAAATTAGACTTTTTTCAGGGTAACAAATTCATCATTTTCAATATGAACGCATCGAAACAAATTCGGTACGAGAACCTTGGTCACTTCAATTTGAATTGCTCCTACCTAGCGGCACTTGTGTAATTGAAGGTCATCTGTCACTTGTTCGACAATTATATACAGGGTAAATTAGATTTTGAGGTACAAACTGAAATGGGTGATAGACCTCATCATTTTAATCAAAAAAATATGTATGTGTGGAGATACATGCGGTCAAAGTTCAATTAATTTTTACTATTTTCTATCAGTTATTGAAATATCTCGATCACTTCTGAAGATAACAATTTCAAATTCAGTGTGGTCAATACTTTCAGAAGATCATCATTTGAAGCATTTCAATGATTTTCAAAATCCACAGGGCGATACGTTTTTGGGGGTAGAGGCTTCTTTGTTCCTTGTAAACTTTTTGGTAATATCCCCTGTCATCTTCCAATTACCAGATGTTCAATTGGAAGAGTTTTTCTGCGGATCAATATTTCTCGATAATGCACCGTATTCGAGATGAATAAGCATATTCGTGCTATAACATGTTAATTTTGCGTATTATGATTCGCTTGATGCAATAAAATGTACTAAAATTGTTTTTGAGCATGTGTCCAATCTGAATCAGTAGCGGGGCGATACAGAGGGTAGAAGGTCAGGTAGCTTTTAACCGATCAATCCAACGAAGACGCGGAAAATTCGTGTTTAGCCACTGGTTAAGCCCAATCCAGTTGTGTCCATATTTTTCATCCAATACCATTTTCAATATCATTTGAAAACATTCAAAAATAATATCTTCTGGCAAAATGTGATTATTTCTATTCCATTATTGTCAACTAATTATGTCCTAGAATGAAATTCAAGAAAATATATAGATAAAATTAACATGTTTCAGAATGGAAATGCTTATTTATCTAGGAAAGAGTTGGTTTCTAGGAAAAGAATAGAATACCAGGAAGCCTCCAAACTGAACAATCCACCCTATTTGGTAACTGGAAAATGTAAGAGGCGTACTACGAAAGAATTTGGGGGAGATGAAGAGGCCTTTACCCCCAGAAACGTATCACCATGTAAATTTAAATAATCTTAAAAATGCTTGTGATCATAATTTCCTAAAAAGTATTAACGACACCGAATTTCAAATCGAAATCTCCGAAAGTATGCGACATAGTTTAATTAAAAGAAAATAATAACTTTGACCCCCTGTAGATCCGCTACTGTTCGAGATCGGACTCATATTCATATGAACTTTCTTAATTGAAATGATGAAATTATCACGCATTTCAGTTCCTACCCCAAAACCTGAATCAGCTTGTAAAAAGAAGTGGAGTTCCAAACGTTCTTGAGAAATAGAAAGGCATGATTCAACACATATGAGTAATAAGAATTTTCGTAAACAAATTCCTTTCCTGTGAATTAATATATGAAATATTGGCTAAGATGACATCCAATTTCACCATAATATTCCATATATATCTTCTTCGAGCTTCTCAAATTACCTGTCATTACTGAATAATCTGTTTTTCTTTTTTATTCATTCCAAGTATAAGATCACAAAATTAATACGAAAGACAGTTTCAGCAATTTGTAATCAATTTTCAAAAGATATTCAAGCCACTTTCAGTAGGGAAAGTTGATATTCATTAAGAAAAATAATTTCAAAAGAGTACTACAAAAACTAACATATCTAGCCGACCATAGTCTCGAATATAAAATTAGTAATATCATTGTTCTAGATGAAATGTCGAAAAATCTCAATACAAAGCTACCTTGGGTTTAGTTGGTTTCATTTATCAGTTTGTGCATTCTTTCATCATAAACTGATTCATCAGGCTTTTCTGGTCATCGTCATAATTTTGCATTTCAATCCACTCTCTTCCAAATGTGAAGTTCTCATTGTATTCAATGATGCAACCTTTACTATTTTTTCGGAGTAATATTTTTAACATTCATGAAGTTCATCCAGATGATCATTATCAATATTATGAGTATAGTTAGGCTAGCAGAATATATCCTCAGAAAATAATGTGAGCTGAGAGCACAATATGGAAGTTGCTCATCATCTATAACTGCCAATTTGAAAGCTGAATCTATAGCGCTTGCTAGAAATTATGGCATCAGAACTGAACGTCTACGTACAGTGGCATTCATAAAGTTGGTGTCATATGGGAAGACCTTTTGATAATAATTCATTTCAGAATTTGACTTGGGTTTTGCTTCAAAACAGAGGAAGAACGGCCTACACGGTCGAAGTCACGTGACTAGCTTCATGTCAAAAGTTACATTTTTTCGAAGTAATCGCTGAAAATAAGCTTATTTGCGCAAATTTTGAAAAAGTTCACAAAGTTAAGTTGTTTCTATCCCAATTTAACTCGTGTATCTCGAATTTAAACGTTCTATGCAACTTTTAGTTCTTGATATTTTTTGCCTCTTCAATTGTAACTTCGACAGAACTGTTCGAAACTTTGGGTAGATACGTGATGATATTATGATAGATGACTTCGACATCATTTTAGTGAAAAAATTTAAATGAATTTCGCTTCTAAATGATAGACGGTGCCCCAACTTTGCATCAAACATAACAGAAATTTGAAGCAGCGATTATTATTTTTTAAAGAAAATTATATTTTTGTCGATAATTATTGATTTTAGTAAGTAGCAGGATGAAGCTACTAGAATAAAATAGTTTTGTCGTTGTTAATTTTTCTCAATATTACAGACATTTCGTAGAAATTGAAACAAATATCAAAAACTAAAAGTTGTAATAGAACGTTCAAATTTAAAACATATTATGTAAAATTGGAATAGAAACAACTTTTCTCAGTAAAATGATTTGAAATATATAATTGATATATTGCGTTTTAGATTAGTACATATTTACTATGCACAGTATTAGTTTTTGATTCGTTAGTGACATGAGTCTGATTTTATCTCTTTCATCAGGAACCTTTCACCACGATGTTCCTTTCCCTGCAAGGTGGCAAATTCGACTATCCGAACAGACTTTTCTCCTCCATCGGCCTATCTTGGAAGAACTGCCAAAGAGACACTTCGGACGTCAAAGAACTCATTCCAGAATTCTATTTTCTACCGGAGATGTTCGTCAATGCCAACAGGTACAGTTTATTAGTTATTTATACACAAAAGTAGTCAAGAATATCATCATGACCCAGGGACCAAGATTATAACCCGTCCCGTGTGAAACGGAGATATGGATCTATTCTGTTTAAAATCTAGTAGTCATGACCATGACACCGTATTATGACAAGCCGTTATTGATAAATACCTACTATATGTAAAAAACTTTATAATATTGTGATAATATTTCCACAAGATTCTTAATCACACAACATGTTTCGCTACCTCAGTAGCTTCTTTAGGTGAAATACTGGTACAATAAACTAAACTTGCATCGACTTTCCCAACTTAAAGGATTATAATTACCACATTATCTACATTTAAATACGATGTACTGGATTAACTTGAAAGGATTGATCTACTAAGTACTAAGAAAACAAATTCAACAGCGGTGAATTATTGAGGTCTAGTTGATCGTTTAGTGAAATATGTTAGAATTTTTGCGTTTGTTGATTTCTAATGTGTGCATGGCAATCTTATCGTTTCTGAAGTTTTTTACATTTACTATGGATTTCCATCAAGTAACGGCCGAGTCAATTCAAAAAATAACTCGTAGATTCTAGTGCATCTCGCATCAGAACAGTGAATTCGGGACTATAACAGAGGTGGCTATGTTTTTATTGACTAGAAGTTTATAAAATGACAAAAACTACCTTGGTAGAAAAAACTTACTTTACGCCTTGAAAGGGGATAAATATTGGTAGGTTTTATAGCTAGTGTTGGAAGATAGTTATCTATACACCACAGTAGTAAATAATATCAGTATTACCCACGGACCACCCGATGCTTCAGCCGAGGGGTATAAGGTTCCGTGGTAATAATATTATTTACCACCGAGGTGTATATCAAATTTTGCCACCACTAGCAATAATAAATTAATAAATTCCAATCATCTTCGTTATGTGAAACTGAAATATAGACCAATTGTCACTATGAAAGCACTTCTTTTCAATTTTGATTAAAATCTAGTAGCCATGACCATGACAGTACATGACAAGTCGTTTTAGATAAATACCTACTACCCTAATAACACACCCCCATCCATTGGACATCCAATGGATATCCTCAACCGGACATCCTGGACATCCATAGGAAAACCACTTTGTGTACACAGAACATCCTATGGATAGGATAGGGTATCAGCTTTCCACATTTTAGGACATACATGCGTTATCCATGATGGACATCCATTCGGAATCCATGATGGACATTCATTCGGTGTCTATTATGGACATCCATATAGTGTCCATTTATGGGACATATTATGTACCAACCTATACTTATTCAAAAGACAAGTTGTTGCATTTTTTTATCAATTAAAACATAGTTCATGGGTGAAAAGTATATGATAAAAATAGATAGTACCTACTTGGGATGAAATCAAATTCGAAAATAAGTGGTCCAATGCACTAGCACAAAAACTGAAATGGATATTTTGCATCATTTCTGCATTATTTTCGAAAATATTCATTGCATTCTGAATCCGTCCCCATAATTTCTGTTTAGTATTTACTGGTCTAAAGTACACCATAAACTGTATAGGTACTGCTCCCCATAAAATATGGTATATTTCGTCTGCTGCTTCATCTACTTATTTGAAAACTGTTGAATCAAACAGCGGTGGACATTCAGAGTGAAATGTGGTGGAGCCTCATCATGCATGAGCCAAATGTTGTGAATAAGGTGTTCCATAAATTATTATTATCGTCAGTTTTGGTCGATATGAGGCAAGATAATTGGACATGTAATTTCCTTAAACTGCGAAATTGTCAATGATTCCTGTCCACACATTATCTGTTGTCTTATCATTTAAGATAGAGTTTGTCAACATCCGATATAATTTTCTCTATTTTATATCTGGTACGTCAGAAGAACCAGTTTCAAATCCTTTTCCTTCTGTTCATTCTGGTGAAGGGTGTTTCACCAACCTATCCAAGAAATACCCATATATTATGTTCGCAATTAGAAACACCTGGATAGGCACAGAAATAATATGAACTTACTTGTATCGTGAAGGCCGTATAAAGCTGGAAACTGAGGCATAATTCAACTATAAAATACTGGAAATAATCATGAAAGTCCACCAAAACAAATGAATGAAATAAACATAACCTATATATATTACATTTCGAATTCTGACAGATGAATTCAGATTTTCTTCTTCTCATTTTTCTTCTCTCAAAATCTGTCGTAGCAATTGACATCCCGACAATAAACTTATGGATGTCCAATATGTACTGCCAAGTATCCGGTATGGACATCCAAGTAGATATTCGATGTACATCCATGGACATGAATAGGCGTCTTGGACTTCAATTGGATATAAAATGAATGTCATCTAGATAACGTGTGTTATTAGGATAGATTTGAATGCCATTCCCGCGAATCTCGCATCAGAACAGTGAATTCTTGTTAGCCACCCCATACTCCTTCCTGGTCGGCTAGCCGTACCTCCGTGTATCGTCAAGTGTCCTTAAAATGTTTCCCGCGGTGGAGGCAATATACTCGGATTATTGCCACTCAGAAGCGCTGAAAGTAAATCAGTACTGATTTTGATACTTGATGAATATTGAATAAGGAATTACTGAAAAATTGCAAATTCAAAGAACATCAAATATTCATTTTATTTTCGTATACAACATATTCTGAATTTATTTCTTCTTTCAGTTTATACATTCAACGTTAACATACAAATATAGAAATAATAATTGTGAATACAATGCATTGGTAAAACGAAAATAGGATGATGTCGTAGGTCCCGAATTAGTTCGTCGTCATTTTCGGTGTATACTCCGATGGCTTATCCAAAGGTTTCAGTGCATGAAACACAAATAATAGTGGCCTAATAGCGGAATGAAAGACGATGAATATGGAAAAACGGCTTTGGAAAATAATTTCATTCATCAAATAGTTCAGCTGAACAGAACGAACCTTGACTTTTTATAAAAGGCGTTGAAAAATAAAAAAAAATCTTGAAATCTCAACGCTCTGTAGATCGGTAACGAAGCGTTTGCGGACACATGTTTACGGGAAAAATGTTTTCACTTTGAACTGAAAAATAAGTCCCTGGAATTTTGAAACACCCTCTGTATAGGTACCGACTCGGCCTGACCGAAGAAGGCAAACCCATCGGCGACGTGGAACTGCCGCCGTGGGCCAGCTCCCCGGAAGAATTCGTCCGCATCAACCGCATGGCGCTGGAGTCGGAGTTCGTGTCCTGCCAGCTGCACCAGTGGATCGACCTCGTCTTCGGCTACAAGCAGAGGGGCCCGGAGGCCATCCGCGCCACCAACTGCTTCTACTACCTCACGTACGAGGGCAGCGTGGATCTGGACGCGATCGGGGAGAGGGTGATGCGGGAGGCCATCGAGAATCAGATCAGGAACTTCGGGCAGACGCCGTCGCAGCTGCTGATGGAGCCGCATCCGCCAAGGAGCTCGGCGATGCATTTGGTTAGTGGGACGTCCTAAAGATTTTTTTCGACTCACAATTAAAATGGCATTCAGCGTACGGATATATACCACGCTAAATGATCGACTGTTCACATTGACGATCTGTGTCAAAAAATCAAATACGTTACCATGGCAACACAATTTCTTAACACATCACCATAACAACACAAGTATTTAAGCACAGCTTCAGTCGTTTGAGTCATGTCTGGCCTGTCAATTGTAGGAACTCTTATTTTGGAAATCTGTTGCAATCGGTGACAATTAGATTCATTTTATCAATTTTTGTTTGTCTCCCATGATGTTCTCGAGCATACCAGAGGACGTGTGTACTGTGAATGGCCATAAAGTTACTATCAAACAGTCCCATCCAATACTTGAAGTCGTTATGACTTCCACATTATATGTCCTTATAAGGTGGTGAACATGACATCATTCGTAGGTCACATTGAAATTGTGGACGTCATGGACCAATAATGACTCGAAAATACCCCATTATGACATAATTTTCCTAACTTGTGCTTAACGATTTTCTCTTCCAGTCTCCCATGATGTTCTCGAGCTTACCAGAGCACGTGTGTACTGTGAATGACCATGAAGTTCCTATCGAACCCCCATCTAATACCTGAAGTCGTCATGACTTCCACATTATATGTCCATCCAGAAATTGGGGAACCAATAATGAATTGAAAATAACCAATTATGACGTAATTTTTCTAAATTGTGCCCGACAATTTCCTCTTCCAGTCTCTCATGATGTTTTCGAGCATACCAGAGGACGTGTGTACTGTCAATGACCATGAAGCTTCTATCGAACAGCCCCATCTAATACTTGAAGTCGTCATGACTTCCACATTATATGTCCTTATAAGGTCGTGAAACATGACATTATTCGTAGGTCTCATTGGAATTAGGAACGTCATGGACATGGACCAATAATGACTTGAAAATACCCCATTATAACGTAATTCCTAACTTGTGCTTAACAATTTTCTCTTCCAGTCTCTCATGATGTTCTCGAGCATACCAGAGGACGTAAATACTGTGAATGACCATGAAGTTCCCATCTAATACTTGAAGTCGTAATGGCTTCCACATTATACTTCCATATCAGGTCGTGAAATGTGACATCATTCGTAGGTCACATTGGAGTCGTGGACGTCATGGACATTAACCAATCATTTCTCGAAAACTACGCCACTATGACATCATTTTCTGAACATGTGCTCAACGATTTTTTTTTTCAGTCCCCCATGATGTTCTCAAGTATACCAGAGGACGTATGCATGACCATGAAGTTCCTGTCGAACAGCCCCATCGTACACATTTCGGCCAACACCTATCCCCAACTGCCCAATCCGTCAGTGGTGACAGTCACGATGCACCAGCAATTCGCAGTGAACAGATGGAATTCGTCTTACGCGGCTGTTGCGCAGTCGCCGAGCTATGCGGATACGCCGCCGAATCAAGCGTCGAATTTACCTTTGTCGATGGATACAGTTCTATGTGAGTATACTTTGGGAATTCGTCAATAATTGTATCTCACCAGAGAGAGATGTGGAATGGATCAAGTGGCCCTAAAAAATGACTGCGACAGTACTGTTTCTGTTCCCCAATCATCATCAGTCACTAGACGAATTTACGCCACATATATATTTCTTATTGATCGTTTCAAGTGTTACTAATATTATTTGATACAGTCATTCATTATTTGAAATCATCACTTCTTCTTCAATAATTGAAATAATCATCTGTCATAAAAACTAGCTCTCGATGACGGGATAAACGGATAAACACAAATAGTATCTATCATATTCCTCAACAACCGATGAAAATATTTCCACATTCCATGGACATAAGAATGCATTTATAAAGTAGGAGTATACTGAAATATGAAATACACAGAATACACTAGTGGTAGTCGTATCGTTTATAAAATGCACTAGATTGATCGCGTTAGATGTCGTCACGTGTTGCTCCGCGTTTTCATGTGATGAAATATAGTGAATTTCGATAATTTGAGTTAGTACTACAAGATTATTAAATAATTTTGTTTACTGAAACAGACCCATTGGGACAACCATAACCGGCTCTAAAAAATCCGTGCTTAGGTAACGCGGTCCGAAAGGTCATTCGCCGGCCATTAGGATATTTACAATATACGCCGTGTGAATACAACGGAGTGAATTTGTTTAGTTTTCCAGAGTTAATTGATGTGTTATCAAAGTGAAATATGTACTGTAGTGATCGAGTTATAAGTGCAAGGGTGTGTCTGTATGTGTGTGTGTGTGTGTGTGTGTAGCGCATTTTTATAAAAGCTTGTATTTGAAAATGTTTTTCATAAAGGATTGTTTTAATTTAAGTTCAATTATGGGATGCGGTGTTGCATTTTTCTCACCATATCTATATAGAGCCGGCTGTGGGACTACACAATGCCATGTGCGAATCACAATTCTCAATTTTTCTTTAACAATTGAAAAATAGTTCCACTTGTGAGCCTATTGAATACTTGAAACTGATGATTCATATTCAGAAATCATGACAATTCCAGGAGAATGTATGTGGTGACGACAAGTGTGACCTCAATCTCCAAAAAGCATTAGACGTTAGATTTTCTAGATACTCTAGAAGTAGAAGTAGTATTGTGGGGAGACTATACTGCCAGGCAAGTTTGCTTATCCCTGCTCTCTACATATCTACACGACATTTTTGTTCTAGTCGTCGTTTATGAACATCCCTGACCGTCTCATAAAGGCCAGAATGTCCGTCCACTCTAATTCAATTGAATGCTTTGGTCGTAGTTAATTCACTCCGAAGATTTCGAATCTCATTCTTCCATACGCCTCACATTCTAGGTACTCTAACTTCAGCTAATCATCATTCCATTTACTCATGCAGCCTTACTCGAGTTCAAACTATCTTTCAATTTCAAAAACTGCAGGAATACAGGTTCATTCAAAAATGAGGTTGAAAAACTTACTATAGGTATATAATTATTTACTTCCTCATACCAGATCTTATTCTGTCTGGAAGTTATTTGTTTGATCAATAAATAAATAAATTTAAAAAAAGTTCATGAACGATTAGATTTCCACAAAATTCTTAATCACACGACATGTTTCGTTGAGACAGTAGCTTCTTCATGTGAAATACTGATTGTTTTTTTTATTGCACCAGTATTTATCAATAATAATAACATTTATGAGCCCAAGAAACATACATGTTAATGGAGGGACACAAGAAAAATAGATGAATAAAGAAGTCGGAATTAATCAATATATAAAAAAGAGATTCAAATTGATAAAATATTTCTCCAGTTCCCTCTTGAATTTCGTGACGAGGTTGATAGATTTGATTCTGTTGGGTACTTGGGTATACTATTATAGATATTTATACCACAAAAATATAATGATTTTTTCCCAAATTGGGTATTTATTTGACAGTTTTCAAATGATCACTTTGTCTGGTGTGATGCTCATGGGTATCAGAATGGACATTGAAAATAAGATTCGAGTGAAGATGCTACTGTGAAAGCGTTAGCAACATGTGTGATTGAGAATTTTTTGGAAATCTTATCGTTTGTGAAGTTTTTTTACCATATACGTCTCTCAAAATGGAACCCCTCTTTTGTTTTCAGAGATGTGAAGAAATGTTGAATTAAAAAGTTGCTTGAAACGACCCAAGCTTTCATTTCGTGAAGTAGCCTCATATACAGGGTCATTCTTTTCTCCGGAAAGGACATTAACTATGATTATTTCAATAGAACACCCTATATATTTTCTGACATTTCGATAGAGCCTTTCTGATTCCAAAAATATATATGAGTCGCATATTTAGATGAAAAATAATCAAGTTATTGATCATCAAAGTTAACCAAAATACCGAATCGTCCAATGAAAATGTCTATATTCATATTTTTTATATCAAGTTTGACCTATTCCAATACCATAATAAACATTACTATGACATTTTCTTGGAGCTTGAGCAATATATAAACGTAATTTCATGCCCACTATATTCAACTTACCTTAGATCATATGAAGTGAAGGTTCATAATGCGGTTGTTTGGTAGATTTTGATCATCAATAACTCAACTATTTCTCATCCAAATATGCAACTCATATAATATATTTTTGAAATCAGAAAGGAAGGCTCTATTGACATGTTGTAAATTAAATATGGCGTTCCATTGAAAAAATCAAAGTTGATGTCCTTTCTGGAAAAACGAATGACCCTGTATATGCAACAACTTCGCGAAATAAAAGTTTGGGTCGTGTGACACAACTTTTTCATTCAAATTTTTTTCATATCTCTGAAAACGAAAGAGTTAAGGGGGGATTCCATTTCAAGATGCGCACCCTGTACTATGGATTTCCACCACGTTATGTGAGTCAATTCAAAAAATGAATAAATGGATGAATACATTTTCCAGCTACGGCGAACAACAGCAACGCGCAGACCCAGCTGATGCAGCGCCGCCACTTGGGCGACAACTTCAGCCAGAACCTCAAAATACGATCGAACTGCTTCGTGACCACCGTCGACAGCAAGTTCCTGATCGCGTGCGGCTTCTGGGACAACAGCTTCCGCGTCTTCGCTGCCGACACGGCCAAGATCGTGCAGATCGTCTTCGGCCATTACGGCGTGGTGACCTGCCTGTCCAGGTATGGTAGACATTTTGGGTACATTTTTTTTTGGTTTATCGCTGGGAACGCAGGAATCTGATGATATATACAGATTTTATCGGTAAATGTATGGACTCAGGTACACAGGTTGATTCAGTCTACACCGATTTCAGCAAAGCCTTCGACAAAATTGATCATGGCATTCTAATGGACAAACTTGCTGATATCGGTTTAGGTGATGATATTTCAAAATGGATATGGTCCTACATAACGGGTCGATCACAGATAGTGACGGTGGATGGGTTCAGGTGTCGGCCATACCAGAGTACTTCTGGTGTACCTCAGGGTCCATTACTATTTATAATTTATATAAATGACATCATTAAATGCTTTGAGCACTCTCAAATATTGCTATATGCTGATGAGTTGAAGATATTTGCTGAGATAAAGAACCCAAATGACTGCGCTGCAGTCCAGAATGACCTGAATCTGTTTACACAATACTGTGATCAAAATAGTCTATTTCTGAATTTGAAAAAATGCTTTTCGATCTCATTTTCTAATAATAAGACCAAATATAATCATGTATACAAACTCAAACAAAATGACATCACAAAGGTTAATGAAATTAAAGATCTGGGAGTTATAGTAGACGAAAAACTAACATTTAATTCTCATGTAGATAGAATCGCAAACGATGCAAGCAAAATGCTGGGTTTTATTATAAGGAATAGTAAAAGCTTCAAGATTCCTAAAACAATCATATCCTTATATTACGCATTTATCCACAGTAAACTTAGCTTTGCATCGATTGTATGAAACCCGTTGTATGCGGTGAATATTAATAGGCTCGAAAGAATTCAGAACAGATTCTTGAGATATTTAGCATATAAAAATAACACTCCCATTGAAAACAGCAACTACACCATTATAAGGAACAAATTCAACATTTTTAGGTTGGTAGATAGAAGAATTGTTAGCGATCTTGTCTTCATATCTAAAATTGTTATCAATGAAATTGATTCTCCTGGACTGTTATCGAAACTATATTATATATTGTATATATCAACGTTTAACTCACGTTTATAATAATTGTGGATGCTGTTTTGGACTTTGTCTGTTTGTATCCTAAAGTTGTTAAATAAATAAATAAAGTGAATCCCTATAATGTTCGAAGAACATCGTGCGTATCTAGGAAGGATAGGGAAAGGGGATAGGTATTGGAAGTGTTAATGAACATTTGGGGATTATAAGTTGTTGGGCATACTTCCTTAGGCAATGAATTCCAGAACTTTGCCGTTAAATAGACAAACGAGTGTTGATAAAGTTCTGTTTGACATATCTCAGGGTTTACAACGAGATGTGCTGGCTGGGCTTGTCGAGGTCGTCTGACTGGTATTACTATAGTGATGAAATGAAAGCAGAGATTTCTGAAGAACATTTCCTGTGGAAGTATCTATAGAAAAGTTTAAGGGCTCTGATTCTATACGGTGTAATGATGTCGAAGAGTAAGTTAGTGTGTATCGCCCAGATGGCGAATGGCTCTTGTTTGGACTAGGGTCCCTTGATGGAAATTGACGTTAAAGTCATCTTAACAGGGTACGGACAGACCCTCGTCTCCTCTCACTCTAAAGTGTTTGTGAAACAGTTATATAGTTCCATCCTTATTCAATTCTGGGGATAAACACTAGATTTTTGACATTTGTTGCTTTTTAGGTTATATTGAGGTCACTGGCGTATCATACGTAATTTCCATATAGAATTCCTGATTCAACTATACCAAAATATAGATGAAAATCCTCTAGTTTTAGAGTTTACTACTCCAGCATAATTTTTGAAAGGTAGCTAAGGGAACATATGAATTGTACTGAATGCTCAATATATTTCACCAAATGAGACTGTTCTTAGACTGTATACAAAGGTTTGACTGAATTGACTAAATGAATTCTGATTTCAAACTGAGCAGTAGTTTATCTATGAGCTGAATGAGCTGAGCCTTATGATTTAGAAATGGTGAAAACCTCGATGTGAATATCTAAACTACTGTACTCATGTAATATGTGTGCTAAATATATTTTCGGAAATCCAACTCGAAGAAGAATTAATGGAGTGACTAATATCAGTATGTATAAAACTTCGTCTAGGACGAAAAGTAGGCTGATAAAAAGTAATACGTAAAATGTGCAGGAAAACAAAGAATACCTAGAATATACTTCACCCCCATGTTGTACATATGATTCTTCTTCTCCCTTCAATAAAAAGTCATTTTCAAATAATTTATTGATGAAAGTAACAAACAAGTTGCATCTTACATATTTTCTATTTGTGATAGAGTAATAATTATATAAACTAATGTCTTTCACCATATTGGATCAGTCCTCATGAATTATCCAATTTTGACGAAACAATCATTATCTCCTACCTCGAAAACACCCAGATATCAAGTTTGATTAGAATCGGATCTTCATTACAAAACTTGTTCGCCATATGATCTTCCTCAACAATCAAATACCCTGTACATACCTATTATTAAAATTTTGAATGATTTTCTGTAGCGCCCATGGATGTAACGTGACAGCAATGTCAGGGATGCCAGTAGACAAAACTAAAGTCTCTAGATAATTAAAAAAGAATGCAGCTATGATCTGTCCGTACCCTGTAAAGATGACTTTAACGTCAATTTCCATCAAGGGACCCTAGTTTGGACGTAAGAGCGTCAGCCTAAAAAATCCGGGTTTTTGTGAAGCAGCCGTCGCGATGGATCTGACATGATTATCCCATGGAAGAGTGTTGCTGATGGAAATGCCGAGCATTGATATAGTTATATATAGATATAGGTAGCCGTGCGGACAGAGTGTCTATATTCTAATTCGCATTCGCTTGCCGGTCGTGGGTTCGATCCCCGTCGACTGCAGAAATTTTTCTGATGGCCCAAGAAAGTGTTTGGGATCACACGTTAAAAGGTAAGACCCCCGTCATTCCTTGCTCGCACAAGACTTTCGAAGACTTTTGAGGGTTGCTCGTAAGGGGGCAACCGAATGACGGATAGAACAAATTTTAGAACAAATTTTTTAGTTGTCTTGGTGGGAATGGTGGTACCATATATCAAGCATCCTGAGTTCCGCCTATCTAGAGAAAATACAGCAAGTGTTGGTGGCGTTGAATTCAACAAGGTTGTTGTTTCCATATGCTGTCATTTCAGCAAGATCCTCATTGACACCTTCCACATGCCTTCGCCATGATGAGAAATGCAAATTCTCGAAGAGAACGCAGTATGGAGTGTACTAACATCTGCAAAACTGTGGATGGGGCAAGTTGTTCCTCCCAACAGATCATTATTGATATGCAGTAGGAACAATGTTGATGCCAAAATTGATCCTTCTGGAACGCCAGAATAGTTGGCAATGGTATCAGATGTCACTCTGTCCACCAACAGTTGAAGAGATCTGCCAGGGGGTCTATTCTTGAGCGTTATTCATATACGAAATCGATCTTCTATTTCACTTCAACATGCGTCACATACGTGTACTTTCTTTATTCGTATACGAATTGAATTCGAATGGTTCGAGAAAAGACCCCCAGAAGGTATGTTGTGGCACTGGAACCAAAGCTATCTTGAACTATGCTGGGGCCTAAGGCCACACAAAAATTTAGGGTCTTTTGGAAAGTAGATATATCGAATTATACTACTTAGTATGCTGCTGGATTTTTGGTTATTATTTAAGATAATGGTTTCCTCCGGGATTTCTGTTGAGCAAAATATTCTACTATATCCTCAAAGTCGATTGTTTGAAGAATGTCACTTTCTATGCACAGAATTGACGAATTACTTAGTCGTTACTCTTTCTTGTTGTTGCTAAAATGAACGCTCTCTAGTCTCCACTACAATGGGGGCTAACATTTTCAGTCTCACCAGTTAGCCCAACCAAACATGAGGTCAATGTAAAAGTCAAAAATATCAAAATTTGGCCGGATAGCCCTAAAAGCTGTGGTCTGTTTTATCGACAATATTCTGAAAAAATGATGTTGAATATTTCAACAAATAGATAACCTCAATTTATGGAATGACTTGAGCGAGCATACGTTTTTTTACTCTCTATCTGGAACTTTACGGCGTATTCTTACATTGTGGGAGAAGAATTATTTGTATATTTTGGTCAACTCGATTCGATTGTTGTTAACTGACAAAGAAAATCGATTATCAATTTCTTGATATGTTGCCGAAAGTAGAATACGTTATTAATTAGTGCACCCCGACAAACAAAGATTTTAACGTAAATGTAAACAACCTCACATCTACTAGAGATTTCCATCATTTTGACGGTGGCGTTGTTGAGGTACTGTGCTGCTAATTCTACACTTGGCCAAAAAAAGTTCACTAACGGAGCTATCTCAAAATTCAATGAATTACCTGATGATATCTGAAGTCAAGAAACATATCCTCTTGAAAAGAGAAAATGAAACCTGAGTGAATGATTTCTCATTCACTAATTAATTTCATCATGTCATAATATACTTTCCATGAGTTTTTGTTTTATTATTATTATTTTCGAATCTCTCTGAAAAATGTTATTTCATTGTAAATATTAATTAAATATATTTATTTTTATATGAGATGTAATGTGATGTTCATAGCAAAGAATGAAATAAATATATAATTTTTAATGTCATCCCTATTTACTTGTATAATTTTTCCATTTCGAAAACCTCTAATTCGAAATGTGTCATTTATTCGAAGGTCGGAGTGCAACATAACGTCCGACTGCAACTTTGCCTCGGGCTCGGCAGATTGTACCGTGCTACTGTTTCACTGGAACTCGCACTCAGACCGTCATTTTGATGGATAAACTGTAATGAATTTGCCTTGTCATTCCTTCACTTGTATAATTTTCCTATTTCGAAAAACCCCTAATTCGAAATGTGTCATTTATTCGAAGGTCTGAGTGCAACATAACGTCCGACTGCTACGTTGCCTCGGGCTCGGCGGACTGCACGGTGCTGCTGTGGCACTGGAACGCACGCACGCAGACCGTGGTGGGGGAGGGAGAGACGCCGACGCCGCGGGCGACGCTCACAGGACACGAGCAGCCCGTCTCGAGCGTCGTCATCTCGGCGGAGCTGGGCCTGGTCGTGTCAGGTTCCTATCGTAAGTACAGAACACTTGATATTTCATCACTACCTATAGAACCTATCAACACAGTTGAAAGAATTGATATAACAGGTAGCGCAGTCTCCTTCGGGTGTTTGATATTTCCAGAACAAAGCCACGTCGACTTGACTAGGGGAGTCAAAGTCAATAAAACTTCATTGATGTCATCTATACAATTCGCACCATCGACAGTATGAAAATAGTTTATTACAAATATATTTACTTCCCATTTAAATACAAGATAGAGAGTAAGGAATTGAAATGTATCCGAGATACCGTGTGCACTGCGATATCAAACAATGCGATGCAATTTTTTTGAGTGACCCGATACAACGGACGGCGCTCGGCATACTACTAGCAGTCTCATGGGCTGACCGGGAAGGATAAATGATGTTTATCATCAACCATATATGTAATGTTGTCTTTACTAACGTCATTGAAGGTTGGGAAGTGTCACATTACACACCTCTACTTCCCAACCTCACTTGCCGCCCTCACTCATGTGATAATTCAGGTATGTTCAGAACGAAACATAGATTTATTAATTTTGATCGAAATAGGATGGTTTGTAAATAAAATAGTATACAAACCTCGGTAGGGAGTTTCATTACTGTCTAGAGATTATAGCTAATCTCGACGCTTTGCGTCTTGGTTAACTAACTAATCTCACGACAGGAATAAATCACTTTCCACCTTGGTGTGTAATATACTATTCAATCTTCTGAAGGAGTGCGGAAACTGATATATTGATTCCTTCAACTGTGCTACCATTATTGACTCCTCTTGAAGGCTTGAAGTGTGTGTGCTTTCGTCATTTCATGAAGCCGAAGTACTACTAGTTCTTAGAGACATCGCCACCTTGGTTATGATTACCTCGAATTCACTATTCTGATGTGAGATTCGTAGGAAGTTTTATCCCGTAAATCCCAAAAATATCTTGAATAATTACGAAATTACTAATTACTAACGTTTGTATCTTTGGAAGGTGTGAAATAAAATTCATGATTGCTCGAATTTTTCCTGTTCAGATTGCCGAACAAACCTAGAAGGTTTTATTTCAAAAATTACAGATGGAAATTAATGAAGGCAAATTCAAATATATCACCGTATCGGGATACTCATACTTTTTTATCAATGAAGTTTATATTTTTGAGTCAACTATACGTTGAGATTGTTTTATTATTTTCAATGATTGATTTTTGTACCTGTATTTTCTCATAATAGAATTATTATTTCAGTTAAAATGGTCTCGTTGATCTGGAATTAAATACATATGCCTGCCAGAATTTGGATTCTGATTTTTAGCTCTTCTTATGGTTGACGTTTTCCATGGAATATAACGCTCGCATCGGTTCAGCGCATGTTGGAAATTTCTGACATCAGTGAACTGTCTCCTATTTTCTGATTGCAATTTTTTAATATTGAGACATATATGATTTATGAATCTCTTGATGAGTATATTCAGGCAGAATATTCATGGTAGTAAAATGAGAATCATGCAAAAATGTTACTGGATGTCCGCTACTGCAATCTCTGTGCTAGTGTGGTTTGGGACTCATCAGTCATCTGCATTACATGATAATTTTCTGATACAGTACATGAATCTTTCCATTTGTAATTAAACTATTGGGACCAGTAGATACTCCAAACACATGCTCAAATCAAATAACATACACAAGTTCCATAATTTCAACAAGAAAATCAGAAAATGCCGGATAGAATGGCATTCTCTTACCGTGATTTGACGTTTTTGCATAAGGGTACGGACAAGCATTGGCAATTAGACATAACCACAGAAAATACATTGAGAAACCTTGATCAGGACAATCAATTATTTTATTCTATTAATTGATTATGACCTCATTTTCAATTCATGGCAATCTTTCGAATTCGAAAAAACGAAAGAAATTGAGAAATATAAGTAGTAAAGTTGATGTTTAAGAGGATGATAATCTCAATGTTGAAGAAAATAATGCTGAATGATGTAATGGAAACAGTTTGAATAGCGTTTGTGATCAAATTTACGTGTGTTCATCTGGTTATTATAAAACATTTCATTGAGATTTCGATACAATTCACCAAAACTACGGACTTTCATTATCTGAACATTAAGTTTCCTAATTATGATCCATGTGAGAATGTGACTGTTGTGTTCATTTTGATGTAATGGTAAACACACCTGGAAATAGTGTATTGTTCAAAAAGCACGGAATTTTATTCGAATGCTGCAAATCATACGAGTGGGAAATTAGCATTCCGTGCGAGTTATACACTATACTGATTCTTTTTTTTTATCGCTTGGAGCGCACGAAAGGGAATCCCTATAATGTTCAAAGAACATCGTGCGTTCCTAGGGAGGATAGGGACAGGAGGTAGGTATTGGAATTTTTTTTGAACTTTTGGAGATTATAATATGTTGTTGGGAATACTTCCACAGGCAATGAATTCCAGAGCCTAGCCGTTCTATGGATGAAGGAGTCTTGATAAAGTGCTGTTCGACATCTTTCGAAGTTGACAACGAAAGGATGTGCTGACTGGTCTTGTCTAGTTCGTCTGATTGGTATTGCTAGTGAAGGAATGATAGCAGAGATTTCCGAAGAACATTTCCCGTGGAAATATCGATAGAAAAGTGAAAGGTCGCCGACCTTTCTACGGTGTTCCAATGATGTCAAAGAGTGAATGAGTGTGGCGTCACCCACCAGGCGAATGGCTCTTCTCTGGATGGAATCTAAGAGCATCAGCGTATGTTTTGGTGCTGAACCCCATATGTGGAAACAGTATTCTAGAACAGACCGTATCTGCGCTTTGTAGATCATGAGAAGCTGTTGAGGTGTAAAGTAGCTTTTCGCACGGAACAAGAATCCGAGTTTTTGTGAAGCAGCTTTTGCGATGGATCTGACATGATTATCCCATGAAAGAGTGTTGCTGATGGAAATACCGAGCATAGATATGGTGGGCTTGGTGGGGATGGTGGAGCCAGACATTACAATATCGGGCATACTGAGTTCCGCCTTTCTAGAGAAAATGCAGGCTTGAGTTTTGGTGGCGTTGAATTCAACTAGCTTGTTTGTTCCCCAGGCTGTGATTTCAGTAAGATCTTCATTGACAGCATTGACCTGCCTGCGCCGTGAGTTCTTAGTTTCCTGGGAAGTAATGGGAATTCTGGAAGAGAACGCAGTATGGAGGGTACTATCATCTGCAAAGCTGTGGATGGGGCAAGTTGTTCTACGGCTGTAACAAATAACGGCGAATTTTCTCGCCTAATAGCCATCTGATTTTCTCCTAAGTAATACTAAGAGCTATTCGACAGAGTTGTCATTGCTTGAAATTTGACATTCCTTGGAGGACGAGTTTTTTTGAAATAATAGCACAATGGAGTCATTGTGATATCAGATACGGAAATAAAATTGTTGACATACAAAGTACTTCATTGATTTATCGAACACAGTAGATTGTAGATGGGTCGTATAGGCTGGGAGACCTCTCGATCACTGCGACCTAGAAGATCTATTGTGATTACCCCTATCTAGTTTTGGTCCTCTAACCCTAGACTTCTGATGAAGCCTACGATTTTCCTGACGGTTGAATTTTCCACTTCAGCAGAGGTGAGATAGACCTATTCTAGGTGGTTCAGTCTTTGGCAAACTAATACTTCACATGAGCAAAGTATGTGTTCCGCGGTTTCGGTCGCATTGTTACAAAAGCGGCAAGTGCCAGTCTCCGCCAGACCCATCTTTTTGAGGTGATACCTCAGAGGGCCGTGTCCTGTGAGAAAGCCTGTGATAAGCTTTAGCTCTGGTTTGCTGAGGCTGAGTAGCTCTTTGGCTCGGTTCTGCGAATGGTTGATGAACCTTTTCGCAATTTTGAGTTATAGCAGTAGAAAAACAATATTCTGCAGCTACTTCTTCAATTCTTGGCTATGAAACATTTCCAATGATCATTGCTTCGTGATCGTAACTAGTTCATCGTATAACCTTCTTCCCCATGCCATGCCCAGATGAAATATTGAGAAAAATATATGGTTGTACTCTTCTCTAAATATATAGAGGCAAGAGTGTAGGAAAGTTATAAGCGAAAAATTAGTCAATGCCTTAATTGCTCCAAATATATGATTGTTTTGTCTGAATTTCTTTCTAAACCTACGAAAACGTAAAATCCATTGGAGTACTCTAATTTGAAGGAGTGATATTGTCAAATCCACAATCATATTGCGGATAATATGTGATAACTATGAATTCATTACTTTATAGATGGTCCAGTACTGGTACACACAACGTTTGGTGATTTGCTCAGATCCTTAGATCCTCCCAGCTCATTCGTATCTCCAGAAAACATAGCCATGTCAAGGGAAGGCGTCATTGTCGTCAACTATGAAAGAGGGAACGTTTGTGCTTTCACCATCAACGGTAAACGGTTGAGATTCGAGTCTCACAATGATAATTTACAGGTAAAGAAAACTAAACCATAATCCCCGTGATTTTCATTTCTCTTTATTAGTTCCAATATCTTACACTATATTCACAGACTGGACCTAAAGCTATGTGTCATTATTTATACAGGCTATAATATTACAATGAGTATAAGATAAATGTATAATATTTAGAAGACAATGTATATATAAGACTATCTGTGATATACTATCCTGTTTTATTATCTTGGACAAATGGAATTCAAAATATAAAAATATTTCCATGGAAGTTAGTCTCTTCCTTTGATTTAACTTTTTGCAGTATGTCTCTCCTCATCATTTGAACAAAATAATTTAGGTAAACTCCGATTGACATCTACCTTGTATTTGACTAGCACCATTGAAACTACCCAATTTCACATTCATCACCCTCAAGATTTAACTGATTCCAACAATATCATGGTTAAACTGAGCAAGGCAGTTTAAAACTCATTTGTTCTTGTCTTCCTATACACTGGATTGTGTCATGTTATGACATAGATCAAGTAGATTGGTAGTAGTTAGTAGATTGAAGTGATGTCTCAAGAATTTGAGGTTCATTAAAAAATATACCAAAATAGTTTAGTCAGATTGTTGCATAAATCTATGTTTAATCGAATAATTGAGTAGTAGACCGAAATTTCGTCGCTGCTGATCGAACCTATAACGTGCGTCAAACTACTCGATTAATAATCAAGTCAGCTATATGAACTTGAAGAATTGGAAATGAGGGAAAGAACCTATACATACTATATTGATGACATTTACTTCATCAATCAATATCAGATTATCTCACCAGTTCACAGTTGGATCGATTCTAAATTGAGAAATATTAATTTCCTTGAAATAAAACAGCTGACAACATAGGAAAAGTACTCACGTCAGTACTGGCGCCGCCGAACGCTGTGTTTATTGAACGTTCCATGAAATTGTGGGGTATTCAAATGGTGTTTTTTCAAGAATTACAGCATATTTTATCAAAAAATTGATGTATTCATGTTATGTTACTTACTTTATTTCAATTATAAGCACATATTTTAATTGAATTCACGCATTTGTGTCCTTGCCTATTTCATTATAGGTTTGTTAGGAAACGAATTGAATGTACTTATTGACAAATCAAACTTTCATAGTAATTTTGTTCAAAATCCTGTTCATAAAACTACAGGAAGTACGTTTCAAAGTTTACAATGAACTGAAGTGATTTTTTGACAATCTGTATGATGAAAATTATATAAATGATAGAATCCAACGAAATTCAAATGAAAAACTAGGTACCAAGATTCAGAAATCAGCCAATTTTCGAAATATGAAAAAATTATATTTCCTATGGATAATTCATTTTTATTCGATTTATTTTGCATAGATCATTTTTTTATTGGTCTTTATATTGAATATAAAGGAAAAATAGTAATCTAATCAGTATTTTGTTCGCCGTAAAGCACTTTCAATTTTATTGTGGTGGGGTATGTGCTACCCCAATTATATTGACGATATCAGAAATTACGTCGGAACCACCGTTGCCGCTTCTGTATGGAGTGATAGGTTGCTATTCTGAAGCTACCTGGCTTGAGAGGTGTCAGACAATCTCAAAATCTATGTTATTGTACAAATTATGTCGAGTCTGGTATCTTATACCTCATCACACTGCTCGCTGGTTGAAGGTGTTTTCCTCATACAATACTCACAAAAGCCTGAACGACCTCATTTCCGATAATTTTTTCCGCGATACTTTCGAGCATGCGCAAGTTTGTGTCACATGATCTGTTATGATCAATTCAGACTTGAGAAGAAGAAATTCAGTAAAATGTCTGTTATCCATTTTCAGTGCCTACTTCTTAGTCGAGACGGGGAATATTTGATGACGGGTGGCGACAAGGGCATAGTGGAAGTTTGGAGGACCTTCAATTTGGCCCTGCTGTACGCTTTCCCAGCGTGTGATAGTAGCGTTCGGTCACTGGCATTGTCACATGATCAGAAGTAAGTTTCATTGACTGCATATCAATAGTATATATCATCAGTATTTACTGTCTTATTCCGAATTGAATCTGGTAACTGAAATTAAGTTCCATTTTGTAGTTTGTGACGTATCGTATAAGTTTCACTTATTAGAATAGGTGATTACGAAAAAAATTCTATAGCTAAGCATCGAGTAGTTGAATTAGTCAGCAAACTGAGTGTGACTGATGATGTTTGATGAGTCGATTGTCATTCTATCGCTTGTAAATGAGGCTACTCTATATGCATGTTATATCTCTCCAGTTATGAATTCTATGATTAAATTCAACAGTTGGAGAATACCATTAGAAACACATCAGAGAATTTCTGATGATATTCAGAGGATAATTATTATGACAATAATTTTGATAAATCAAAATATAACATATATATAATGATGTGTTCTTTATTTCAATAAATTTCCAATGGCCTTCGACTCTGGTTCAGTTAATCTAATCAGATTATATAAAGAGGTTGTGGATATATGGATTCATTTATAGGGAGTTCTTGATCCTGAAATAATATGGAATGTATAATGTCCAAGATTACTCAGGTTTCGATACAGTTTATTAATCCAAATCCCACTGACAATATCATCATGAGTTTATTATACAAAATCCTATCGCTGTCAAACATGGTTACCCAGCAAGTAACAGAACCAAGCTACTACTATTAACTGAACATTACATTCTTCCTTCCCTTAAACTGAAATATACCTATGAACATAAAAATCACAATACCAATCGATCTGGAGGCCTAATGGTACGCTTAGGACGACTTGAAAACATCGTAGTATTATGAGAACCAATAATAGTGCCACTACTAGAAGGTACTTCCATTGGATTGGAATTCTCCGATAACACGATGTCCCCAGCTGTTCCTTTATCTTGGATATCATTACCGTCATTGAAATCAACGTTACATGACAACATTTGATTAGCATGCCTTCGCCAAATTATGTCACTATTACAAAGTTCCACCTCGTATACATCCCTACTTATTTTCTTTACTACTTTCCCTGCTGCCCATCTTGGATTCCCTGCTCTATAATCTTTCACTCTTACAAACTGACCCACTAGGAAATCTATTTTCCGATTACTATTATGAAATGTTCTTTGCCTCGCTTGAGCATTCTTAATGTTAATTTTTGCTTCTACTATGTGTTTATTTGTCTCTGGCAGAGACATCTTTGGTCTCAGCAAATCTAGCCTAATCCTCAGATCACGACCAAACATTATTTGAGCTGGAGATTTCCTGGTGGTACAGTGCATAGTGTTCCTATATATTATCAAAAAATTGCAAATGGATTTGGCAAAATCTGTACTACCCAAGGAGTGAAATTCCTTGTGCAAATAATGTTTAACAGTTTTAACCGCATTTTCAGCAGCTCCATTGGACGGCGGATTATATGGTGGGCTGTTAATTAACTGAATACCGTTCAATCTTAGAAATTCTTTTAATTCGAAAGATGTGAAATATTTTGCATTATCTGATACTAATACTTTCGGTAAACCAAATCTTGCGAAAGTCTCTCGTAATTTTTCGATACATAATGATGAGTTTGTCGATGGTAAAATGAAAACTTCCAACCACTTGGAGAAACTGTCTATAATGACCAATAACATTTTTCCATGAAGAGGACCCATAAAATCAATGTGAATACGTTCCCATGGACCATTTGTAACCGACCAATGATTCAAAGGTACCTTGGGCGGACTAGGTCTCATTTGTACACAAGTTTCACAATTTCTACAAATATTTTCTATGTCAGTATCCAAAGTTGGCCACCATACATAAGACCGAGCTAGTGACTTCATTTTAACCATACCCAAATGAGATTTATGTAACTCTTCCAAAATTTTATTTTTCAATATTTTGGGAATAATTACCCTGTATTATTCCATTCGCGAAAAAGAATTGTTCTAGCCTTTTCTTATGGACATACCAATTATTAATTTTTCCATCGAATATATGTTGAACGCCGATCATAGAACCCTTACTTGTCCCCGCTACTTCTTTATTTTCCGTCATTTTATTGATACGCCTGTTTATCCTCGTCGCCAATATAATGTCCAAGATTACTCAGGTTTCGATAAAGTTTATTAATCCAAATCCCACTGACAATATCATCATAAGTTTATTATACAAAATCCTATCGCTGTCAAACATGGTTACCTAGCAAGTAACAGAACCAAGCTACTACTATTAACTGAACATTACAGAATGTTATGAAAAAAGTATTCTCTATACTTGCACTACTACCTACTAGAGATTCTGAAAGAACTTGACACTGCTGTTTTGACGTTTTTTGTATATCAGAGTACGGATACTATGACAAGCACTGACAATCAGACATAACCAAAAATAAATTGATGAAAAATAAGGGAACTGACAATACACGGACAGATATGACATAAATTTCAAAGGTTTGACAAATTGAGAGGATTAGGAGCAAGATGCAAGTTTGCGCAGTTTCCAACTGTGAGAACACGGGAAATAAATTCACTCTAATCGAATTTCCATCGGATAACGTAATTCTACAAAAATGGAAACAGAATATGATGCGGCCGGCATGGAATATAGGTTCAGGCCACAAAATTTGCGAGGTATTCAAATTTGTTGGTAGGATATAGAACATTTTTTAACGCATTTTTATCAGGTACACTTCAGAACGGAAGATATGATGTTGAATGTTTGAATTTATCGTACCCTTTTACCCACTCGAGGAGACGCTATGCACTCTCATACAAAAATCAAAGACAGAGAAAGATATATGGATGTATTCTTCCCAGGACTTGTGGAGGAAGGAAGATGCGAGGATCCTTTATCTAAGCGAAAAACATATTCTTGTCCTTGTCTGGCAGAACATATGATTTGCTTCAAAATCGTTTGTGGTTATGTTTGATTGTCACTGCTTGTCTAGTGTCCGTACTCTAACATACAAAAAACGTCAAAACAGCAGTGGCACGTACATTTAGAAACTCTACTACCTACTACCTGTTAAATGTCTCTTGTCATTGGGAAATGTGAAATGATATTAATAAGTTATAATAAATAGACTACCACTAAATTTATCATCTTCTATTAGATTATTTGCCCATCCTATGAATATGTTTGCATTTTCAATTTTTTATTTACATCCAATCCTGAATTATTTAGGAATATTGATATTTATCAGAAAATATAAGATGCTGTAAGTACTAAGCATATACTGTTCTTTGACTCTATTATATAATAGTAGGTTTCATTTCAAGACAGATTTTTTGATTTTGAATATCGGGAACGCTGATAAAACAATGGTTTTGTACATTCAATGTGAATAATTGTGGACCAGTAGATACTTTTTGAATAATTGAAAGAGGGATTGAGTTTGATATGTCGTAATTTGAACATTTCAGGTTTTTGTTAGCTGGGTTAGCGCTAGGTTCAATAGCCGTATTCCACATTGATTTCAATAGATGGCACCACGAGTTCCAGCAACGATATTAGAAATCGATGAGCAGTGAGAACGCTCGAAAAAGTCAAGTAGGTCTCAATAAAATCCAATTACCTTGACGCGTGTACCTACTATAAACCAAATCGTACTTAATATATTCCATTTTATTATTTTTAATACTAGCACTTTCCTTTGTGTATATTGTCACTGATTTATTTGTGCAATGAGCTTTTATTTGGGCGAATGACATTCGCCCTTGTTGAATTTTACCATTATCATAGGTGAATGTAGATAAATCTTTGATGATTTTTAACCTGGAATATTTGTGATGTATTCGATTTCAATCAACATTATATAATATTTAGTATTTTTGAAGTAGTGTATATTATTGTTTTATGTAGCTTGATGGAGAGAAATCAGGAAATTTTATTATTAAAACCTTCACTAAATTTTATTAACCGGCTTCACATCAAAATTTCATCAAATTATTCAGTGTTAGACTTTGTCACTTGAGGTTTTTTACTGATAAATATACTTCTTCTCTTTGTGTCATTTGGCCTCTTCCTACGATATCTTCTTCTCCGTCAATGTAAGAATTGGTCCACATTGATAGTAAAAAATGTCTGTTCAAGTCTTTCCATAACTCGAGGTTTTCTATTCAAATATTCTACATCAGTTTTTCCGAATGTGTTCGATAAAACTGACCATATCTTTCAGTGCTAAAATGTTAACGCCCATTGAAGTTAATTTCGAAAGACATCTATGACGAGGCAAAGACTGTTGTTCAGTAACACAAAATGCCAGTATCAATATTGCTCAAATGTTGTACGGGGTGTTATATTATTTTGAACTATCTACCACAGTATTTTGATTCCTTTTCTTCCCCACATACTTAGCATGTACGCATGTACTAAGTAATGGAATATTGATATCCCATTTGAATTAATTTTCGGAAATGAACCTAACAAAACTAATTTTGCATCAAAAATCAAACTACTTTGTATTCCTCGAAAAAAATTACGAAATTCGAAGGTTTTATTAGGTTCAACTTAATGATCGATGATTTGGATTTGTGAAATCATAGCCATGTTAATGGAAAATAGTCCTCAATTTCTTGTAGGATAGTTTCACTCATACTTGGGTTCCCATTCCATTATTAATAAAATTTCCATAATTTCTCTGTACAGTGTTAATTGTAAGTTGACGCTTGCCCTTGAATGAAATGAGCAAATGTAAACCATTGTCAATTCAATATTATCTGTATTTTTCTCCCCTTAAAAATAATTCATTTTCTTCAAAATATACTTTTATTCCGGTTTCTAATGATCCTGAAATTGAAAGAATGCAAAATAAACATTGCATCATCACTGACTATGAAATTTCATATCATTTTATCGTTTGACTATGTACACAATTAGTTTTAACAAATAAGTGTGGATCGATCTTTCCAATTATGTGAGAATTTCATCAGCCTGCATAACCATTCATCTAAATGAATCGAAAGATTAAAGAAACAAAATTATCTATTGCATTCATACCAGATACCAATTCAATGGCTAAAAAACTATATTTCCATTCTTGCTAATTGAACACTGTTAAAAAGTAATATCACCAACAATAAGAACGAGATTTCAAGGAGTTATCCATGCTTCAAGTAGGTAAACATTTTGTCTGTAATTTTTTCTTCGGTCACACCTGGTATCGCTGAATTCACAATGATCATTCTAATCCAACAATGTCATAATATCATTTCTGTGTATTTCATTCATCATTTGGCAAAATCGGAAGAGTTCCAGAATAGTTTTGGTCATTACAAAAATGGCCATAAATTAGTATCATCCTCATTTACTATGACTTAAATACTGAAATACGTAAATATTTGGCATACTATTCAATAGTTATGCGATTCGATCACTGTTCTATAACTAATTTTGTCAGATATATTCTTAGTTCACTTCCGTATTACTCACTTCATAATTATTTGCCTGATATTACCTGATGATGTTTACCACAAATCTGCTCGGTTGATATAATTGTAAACGAAGTCAATTTTTTTTGTCTCGATGTTTTTAGGTATACACTCACCGGCAAAGAAAACCGGCTGAAAAAAATTACCCACATTGATCAGCCTGTAACTTTCTTTATTCTTGTTCGATTCTGGTGAAATTCCCACTAAATCTTAGATTCATACTTCGACATGTTATTCTGAATTAAAGTTCCCAAAAAAGCGGATGTTACTATTTCAAGCTCAACTTCTTAACGCCCTGTGGCAGAAGTGATTGATTAAATGTTCTGGATTGGAGTGTAATCCCTTCTTAACACAAAAGTTTTTTATTCGCATCAATATCTTCGTATTAAGAGAAGATACATGGGTTTTAAGAAAGTATGGATTTTTTAAATTTGCAGAACATACATGAATTTATCGATCAACAACTCGAAGAGACATCTGAAATTGATATCATTTATTTCCACCCTGATTTTTCAGCCTTCACCAGCAAATAAGATTCCTTATTACTCAAAACGAACGAAAAACAAACCTCCTATCAAAAACGAGTATGTCCTCCTCGAGCTTGAATTAGAGCATTCAACCGGCGTGGCATCGAGTTGATCAAATTTCTCAACCAGTCTTGAAATTTCCTCAAATTTTCCTTGAGGGGCGAATCGTAGCCCAGAAGGAAGAGAAAGATGCTCTATAGATTCTGAATTATTATTGATAAAAAAATCAAACTTTCTTCAAACACTTGTACCTTCTCTGAAAAAGAAGATATTGACGTGAATCAAGAACCATTGTGTTGAGAAGAGACGAAAGGGGATAACAGCGACTTATTACATATCTATACTGCTATTAGTCATATCGCAGCAACCCGAAAATGAAGGGGCCAGTTGCTCGCCTGAAAATGCTTCTGCTCAATACGCAGGAACCTCCAAGCTGTCATTCATGACTTTAACGTGGTATCGAAATCAACCTAGCATCCATTTTGTTCATAGACGGGACAAGGTGGATGGCGTTGGTTTTGTTTATGTCATCAGGGATCGGCTTAATAAAAATAATACCCAAATTGAGTGGTGATATTGATTTTTTCGTTTTATATTCGCCAATACTAGAAAATATGAAGTGCTTTGTTCTTTGATATAAAAATTCTACGATTAATAATACTGAAGATGTATCTTTCATCGGTGAGTTTGTGGGCAATGAATAATCTTTTATTTCAATTTGCTTTCATCAGTTGAGCAAGTATTAAGTATTTAAATCAAATGGAATCATGCATGCTTTGTATATTCTTTCAGCTGTGAAGAATTTGAGTTCAGGCGTGAGGTGCCATATACCTGCTCATCTACTTTTTTTTTATCGCTTGGAGCGCACCAAAGGATACTGGATTGAAAATTTACTCATATCAATAATGATTCTAGCATTCCTAAGAATGAGAGAAATGAATGGTTTGAGGCTATTAGGCGACCATTATTGGACTTTGGTTACTCAGGAAGGATGATTATGTTCAGGCCATTTCACGCCAGACAGCTTTCTGATGCTTCCAGGCAAATCCAGGACACAGAAGCCACATGAAAATTTGCCGTTTGTTAAAATTGAGTTCTCAAATCTGATTATTTGGACGCTATGTGACCTGAATAACGGCATATTTCATTCGTTTCTCACTACTTCATGTATGGTTTATCAACCTTCCATAATAGACCCATCTCAACCTTTTTCCTTCGATACGCCTATGATCTTCGGATTCATGAGTGTAACATGATAGTTCCTAAATGAACATGACTCAGTTGATAGTTCCTAAATGCACATGACTCAGTTTTACTAGTTCGATCTCCCGAGTGGCTCACCTTTTTAGAACTGGCGGTCTAGATTAGTCTATAAGTCGGTAGGGACACACACTTCAATCCAAAACATGATAAAGCAGAAGCTTGAAGAATGGTTCTGAATTATTGTATATGAAAATTTGAAAAATACAAACTTCCTAAAACTCTTGCATCTTCTCTTAAAAATGAGATATTGATGTGAATCAAACACCATATTGTTAAGAAGGTATCACACATCAATCCAACACATAATGAAGCTGAGTTTAACCACTCACCGACTCACCTTCTCCACAGAACGTCAAGAAGATAAGGGTGAAAGAGTAACTTTGGTTTTTTCTATATAATGATCATGCCATAAGTTTTTTTTTTGAGAATCAAAATTCCAGGCTAACATTCCGGAACATAAATCTACGATTGGGACGATATTTCACCAGATTCGGTCAAGAATTGATAAAGTTACAGGGCGATAAATTTGCCAAAATTGTTTTGTTGGCGGATTTTCTTGCTGGTAAATGTATATTTCGTCATTCAATTGGAAGTTTCACACTAATTTCAACAATGCAAGCCATTAATCAGGTTACTTCAATTCAAATTTGAATCACAAGCTCAGGAGGATGGAGAAAATGTCAAGGGCAAGTATAAGATGTGAATGAAGTCAATATTTTGGCTGGTTTTTTCGATAATGTAAGTTTAAGCACTGTAGTGTTGCTTACGGCTTGCACATCCATTGCCAGCAATTGTTAAGGCCGTTATGGCGCACTTTTTGACACGGTATGTCTGACATTCCAGCAATGACACACATACGGCGTTTTGAAAAACATTCCCTCCAGCAACTGTATTATAATATATTGCAATTCTGTCCAAGAGAATCAAACTTATTGTAAATAAGTAAGATTGTTTCCTTTTTTATGAAGCGCTATTGATTAAACATGTATTGAAATATCTACTTATTGTGTTATTTTAATACTTATGGAAAATGTACTTAACTGTAAGAAATATGTATGTTTGATGTTAGTAATTAATTATATTAACATTCATTTGTATACACGATAAAGGTATGAAATAAATGTGTTTTGTTCAGCTCTAATGCCAATTAATTTGATGTAATATTCTCCTTTCACCCTTAATAATGGTACCTGCATCCAGGTATGCAATAAGAATAACTTTTTGTTCCTGACATTTGTGAACACAAGGTAGTTTGTCTGATGGCTGTACTAAACGATTAGCAGGTATCGGACAATACGAGTAGAGTCCCGGCATGGGTACGAATTGAGTCCCATGAAAGAAACAGTAGTTTCCTTCCGAAAAATATACTTTCTAAGAAGAAGGTTCACTTAGGGCAAATGAGGTTAGAAAAGTAGTCTCCTTTCTGAGATATGATCCTTCTTCACTATTTTGTTAAGAGATGGATCGGTTTTACAAAATATATACTTATAGGAAGAAGGTTCATTAAGGCCGGGTAAGGTTAGATTGTTTAGAAATAGTAGTCTTCAGAAAAATATACTTTCTATGAAGAAGGTTCATTTAGGCCAAGTGAGATTAGATTGTTTGAAAGAAGTAGCAAAAAGCTTCTGAGCTTCCTGAAATTGAATGATATTTTGTAAAATACACATGACGAATTCTGAAGTTCAAATATGACTATTTTGAATTGAATCATATGCACTCCGAAATCAAATTAACATTTCTGAAACACAGGTAGAGCCGTCTGAAATTCAATTGACTATGCTGATGATTAGTGAAATTCAATTGACTGTCCTGAAATTTGGTGATGCTTCCTGAAATCCAATTAATGCCTACAAATAAGGATACTACGGTTCCACAGTTCATAACCTACTTTAATTTTCAATCAATCACACAACACTGATAAAGCTTGCTTGAAATATTGATTTATTACAATTTAATACATTTTGTGCTTGGACAGTAACTTCTGCTTCCTTCAGTCTCTTCTTTGGATCCCTAGGGCTCTTTTCATCTCCGCAAATGAACATTTGCGTGGGTGATGTTTCAGTTATATTTATCCATTATTGAAATGAGTCTATCATACACTAGCTTTTTCGTATTAGTCCCCCACATGAAATCCATATGGTTGAAACTATCGTATGGCACTTTGAACATTCCTAGAGAGTTTGGTAACTTCTTGTTTAAGATGTCCACATCCTTGAAAAAGTATGTTGATCATTAAAATTGCCTACAACCTATTCAATTAAGATTTTATAACTAATAAGTGAATTAGAAATTGACAGACAAGTCTAATGACAGTTAAATATGAGATGAAATGCAAACTTCCTCAGAGAAAATTGTGACCAGGTCCGACGAGCGCAAAATATATACATATATACAAAGTACCCACTTCGCTGCCTAGGCAGGAAAAGTAATACTTTGATGATTGATATGTGTCAGCAAAATTAATATTTGCTGCCAATCGGAGAAAAAAAAATTATTGAAAGACGTTCATTGATTGAAAAGGCCTTTCGATCAGCCTTGCATCCGAACATGGATAACCCTATGCTTGCTATTATTTCTCATTTCCACATTTATTCTACTGTCTTGGAAGTAGGAATAGTAGGATTGTCTTACCTCTTCAGCTACCATGATATCTCCCGAACCATAGTGGAGCGACACAGGATGTGTCACCTGCGATATATTGTACGGTGGAGGATTTGCGATTTTATATTTACGCTGATTGATGGTTTCGTTTCCATAATCGAATGGTGCGAAATTTCCTGAAAACATGTTAGCCTTAATCATTTTTAACTACTTAAATACAGGGTGGGGCATTAGTGCGTCGGAGCTCGATTGCTCGAGTTCTATGATAGCTAGAAACCTGATTCGAAAACGAATGTGAATGAGATAACAAGGTCCATAACTAGAAATTATTGCCGCATAAACAGGGCGCACCGAAAATAATCTAGAGGGTCGGGATCAATTTTTTTAATTGGAATGCCCAGTATATTTGCATATTTTTTCAAGCATCCCTGTGATCTTCATCCACTCCTATAATATCGTTGACTATATCTCTTTCGTATCAAAGTTATGAATTTTTTGGTCGAAATAATGTCATCTGCAGATGCCAACCGAAAATATCACTGTTGTCACAATTATAAACTTTAAGAAAAAATAATCTCTATATCATTTATTGAAAAGATGAGTGACATTTCTGAAAATGTTTCAGGCTCTCAAATGATACAGGGTGGCTGAAAATGATTTTTTAATTCGGAACTTTTCGAAGTGATTTTTCTCGAGTTTTTCAAATGGAACACCCCATATATTATTTTTTGACCATTTGATGTAAAATCGAAACACGAACATATTTATTCGAACATCCATATCGATATTCGCAACCATTTTTGGATTATTGAACTTTGAAAATTATAGTTTGGCGATTTTGATCGATTCAGATTCTTATCTGTCCGAGATATACAGTATGTCAAAGTTTTTTAGAAAAAAGCGTTTTACTTTTTGGGTATATCATCGACAGGACGTCCCTGCAACGTCATAAAACTGACGTCTTCTTTTACCCATCTAAGTGACGTTCACTCGACGTCGAAACGATGACGTGATTATCACGTCATAGAAAGTACGTCATAGTGACGTCATAAATTGGTGTGTGACGTCTCTGACGAAAAATCACCAATTAGGGACGTCACAGTGACGTGATCATTCGTCATCTGGTTGCCTGGGTTACCGCCAGTCAAAACTGACGCCACGATTTCGTAAGTAGGGGCAGACCATAGCACAGTTGCCATGTGTTGAAATACGATTGGGAACTTCAGAAATACCTAATAGTTATTCGATAATTCACAAATTCTCAATTGGGTATTGGTAATTCTCCTAATTAGCAATGAAAATTCAATTGTCTCAAAATGTTCCTTTATGATTTGTGGCTTATTGCTCATAATAAATTCGTGTAAATGATAATTATATTAATTCACACTAGAGGACATTTGAATCGGTGAACGTGACAACCACGGCGCACGACTTGTGGGCGTGGTCTTGCCAAGTCTCCAACATTCACATGATATTTTGTTATGGAGAATAAGAAATATTTGGACATGCTGGTTGCTCGAAATAGTCAAGAATGAACTATAACATCATGGTTTCCTCCTATTATATTTCATTCAACGACAGGACTCTGATAACTTGATTATGATTGGTGACTTGACAACCTTGCTTCATGAGTGGAAATGGAAGATTATCTGTAGGTTGTAGGTTCCTAACGGCACAGTGGAGTAAATGAATGCCAATAATTCATTATCAGTCCACTCGCCCATTATTGATATATGGAACCCTAACAGGCCACTACCGATTGAAATCAAAGTGAATATATAAAATTATCTTATAGTTCAAAAATTCGAAGATTCATAATATTCCGTAATATGTCAAATCTACCAATAGACTGAGTATGCATTGTTGTCGAACGAAATAAATTTAGTCGCCAGGATTCAGTGAAAATGGACCATGTCGAATGGATAGGTAAGAAACATAGATAGTTATACATATTGTATATGTCGGGGAGAATTGCGGAAATCTCTCGGATTCAGATAGTTCATGAAACAAATAAAATGACAGATTTCAATAATGAACAGTGGTCGTAAGACGCTTCGTTTTCGAGATACAGATTGGAATGACAAAATTGATTTTTCCCCATTCACTATAAAAATACAGTCAACAAAAATACGAGATATTCTGATGATATACTGAGTATCTGATGTAAACAAACATGTTAGTGGAACTCTTCAGCTGATACCACTGGTGTCCTTCTATAAGGCACGCTGCAACCTCAGCAGCTTATTGAGATTGCGCAAATATAGAATCTATCAGAAAGGCTACTGGCTGGACCAACAAGCCAGCAGTATTCGCAAGATTTTATAATAAACCTGTCGAACCATATACCTAGATGATTTCGCGGAATGCTTATCAAGAAGTTTAGGCATTGAAGTATAGTTAAATAGGCTTATTCACGAAAACAATCTATAAATAAAAATTGAGAATCCAAATTTTGTTGTATATTTTGTTATATTTATTCATATGTCTAATACTTATTATTGAAGTTGAAATGGTGGTAATTTGTAATATAATCGTAATTTTACTAATATACCATATCGTTGAAAATTGCGTTATTATTGTATATTGTCTACATGTTACTGTTTCTTTACCTTATACATTGACATTTCAATTATATTTAATAACAATAAATGAACATACTATTGAAAGTTTAACACATATCATTATGTGTCCACCTAGATTGCTAGCCAGTCTCTCAACATCTACAGGGTGGTTATCTGAGACGAGACTGCGAAATATAATTGAAAGATCAGATATGTTTTTATCTCATTTTAAACTTGTATTGATGAACATTTCAAAATTTCATCATGAAATATGGAAGAATAATGCACTCCTGTTAGAACTGCATCGTTTGCGAGTGAAAATAAAAAAAATACGAGAATTTTTTCTTCAGGTGTCGGATTGTTCATTAAAGACACTCGTTCGAGTTACTGGATAACCAAAATTAATATCATTTTGGAATGTTGGCACCCTTCAGGCACATGACACACCAATTTTTGCCATAAATATAGCTCACACAGGTTGATTACAAAAACAATTTTACGATTATTTCCAATTTCAACTCCCTCTGTATCTCGAAAACGAAGCGTCTTACGAACAATGTTGATGGGAACTTGTCATCTTATTCTTTTAGGCACTATTGAATCTTAGAGATTTTCCACATTTTCCAGGATACCCTGTATAAAAATACTACTTACCACTAAGATATAATTGGAAAGTGTGCTGAACTAAATAAATTGACGTTCCTGCTGGGAAGAATTCTAGGAAATGTGGAAACACTGTCTGAAATAGAAAGAGAATATTATTTTCGTTACAAATAACATAAATATATATTTGTGGTAAATTTTCTTGAAATATTGTTTTTCCCCATAGACGAAGAAACCCAAAGTCATCCACAACATTTATTGAAAAGATCAGAGATCAATCACGCAGGTACATGTTTCGGTCTTATATAAGCCCATCATCAGCCGATTACAAGATTTTAGTTATGGAAATGAAAACGTTGTAAATTTGATAATGTAGACAATAGAATGGGACAAAACACAGACGTATGCACCATGATTATGTGTAATACATAGGTGTTTCTTGAAAAAACATTGAAAAATTTAGGAAATGGGTCGGGTTACTGATTTTATAAGGGCCCACGTGTCTAAATTGCCAAAGGTGATAATCACACATCGAAAAATCGAACAAAGTTTGATCATTTCACAGGTTAACCTTGAGACCCCATCAAACTTCGTTTGATTTTTCGATGTGTGATTGTCACCTTTGGCGATTTAAAGGCACCTGGGTCCTTATAACCCGACCCATTTTCTAAATTTTCCAATGTTTTTATAGACATTACACATAATCATGGTGCATACGTCTGTGTTTTGCCCCATTTTATTGTCTACATTATAAAATTTTCGAAGTTTCCATTTCCATGACTGAAATCTTGAATTCGGCTGATGATGGGCTTATACAGGGTGTTCCTTAATGATATGCTGATATCCAAGGGGCCGATTCTTCGACCCATTTCAAGAATAAAACTTCATATGAACATATGTCGTAAACGTCCTAACTTTTGAGATACAGGGTGTCAATGTTGAAAATATGCAAAGATTATTTTTTTGTCCACCCTGTATAGCTTTTCGTGATGGCAAAATTCAGTCTGCTATGTGACTGAATCGGTATTCAAATTCCAAAATGTTACATACGGTGGTTATCCAGTAATAGATGTCCTGAATGGAGTACTCAAATATCAAAATTTGAAGTCTGGTCTCGTTTTTCCGTATTTTCTCGAAAACGAAGCGTTCTATCGAGTATCAACAGGAAGATCTTTTTTGTACATAATTGAATAGCCTTTTATAGCATTGTATGAAATTTGAAAATTTTTTGTCGTTGCTCACTTTAAAGTAAAATATAAACAATAATTCTCCCGTTACGGTGCCACTGGTAGAGAAAATGAAAATATTTGTACACCAGAAAATGCACGTTGATGCGTAAAAGACGTGTACCAAATTTCAAGAAGATATATACAAATATTGTCTTAGTTATCGTCAAAAAACTGAATATTTTTCAAAACTTCATCACCCTGTATCTCAAAAGTTAAGACTTTGAGGACTAGAGACTAGAGGTCATGAATATTTGCTGTTTATATTTTGCCTTTTACTATAGAAAATCAAAAGTTTGTTAATTATTGATAGTGAATAAATAACATGAAGTGTGAATAATGATAAACAAATTAAAAAATATCTAGTATATATAACCTATACTGGAAATACACCCTGGTACCATTGCTCACCGAATTGAATTGATTGTTATCCTCTCCAACAAGAAACGTAATACATGACTTGCAAATGGCTTGAATTGGTGTCCTATCATGACATAACATTTGCAACAGTTTCGACATATACGGTCTTCTAGGGAGGAAGTTGTATATTCCGTTGGCAATTGCAGTTTGCTGAAAAAAACAATGCTGAAATCAGTGGAATTGAAATTATCGTAAATATTGGCGAGAATATGGTCAGTATGCGGAATCATAGAATAAGTTAGTGATCATGATCTCTAGTATAAATTAAATAATCCTGAATAAATATACAATGATTCAGTTATTCAAAATTCGAAAGCTGAATTGTTTTCGGAATCTTCATCATGATCAAAAACCAAAGATTCTATTGAATTCAAAATGTGATTCAAAATATTCATTCTCTTTATATCAAAACATTTCCCGGATTATGATATTGATCTCGTATTTATTTATTTTGATTAGTAAATCCTTGTTCTGATTTATATTATCGGAGATAAAAGTTGTTTTGAAATCGACTTTCAAATATTTTTGTATCTTCCGGCCATACAAAAATGATTACACATTCAAAACAGTATCTATCACAACAGAATATGGAGACTATAAGATAATTTGAATGATGTGAATTTTTGCGAATCGATAACGTTTCAAGCAACTGGAAATACTCTGAAACAAATAGAGATTCTTGGTTCTCTATGTAGCAAAATGAATTTTGATGATTTTCGAATTCACATTTAACAATTGCTTTTGCAAAATTTTCAGTCTCAAGTATCTCTCATCAGTACGAAGATCATTCCGTTTGAGTTTCGGAATTTTCAAATCTATTGTTTCAGTTTCACCAGTTTTCGAATCGATTGCTGTAGATGAATTCAGAAATAGTATATCTTCGGTGAAATGTAATTCACAGACTACACTGCGTACTTGAATGGAGATAAATCCTTTCGGTAAATAGCTGCCATCCACTTCCTAGACAGGTCAACATTCAAGGGAAAACTAAAAACATGAACCTTTGGCCCACGAAGTTACGTCTAAGGCCGTTTCAGTAATCATTTCAAACTTTACAACAATTCATTGATTTGATCACAAGCGATCGCGTCAAATCATATTGGTGGACGTATGTCAGATATAGAATTAATCTGACAAGTAGTAGGTACTAGTAGGTAAGCATTTTTATCTCCACTTCCAATGGGAAGTTAGAAGGTGAATGTATAGGACAATTCATAAGTCAGAAGATTGATTCTCCCTTATGCACAGTTTAGACGTGGCATCTGACATACTTAGACAGACAAGTGTAAACTGTGTTTACCTCGTCTCGTATGTAGTGCTCTTGATTCCTCTGTATATCATAACTACATATCAATCTCATGCATTTATACAGGGTGGTCCTTATTGAAATACTAATATTCAAGGGGACAACCCAGCAAACATGATTGAGCGGTAAATAGGCGGCCGATTGCTGGTAACTGCGGATAGTTGTCGGCAGCGGCACACCTATGTCGTTAAAATGTTGAAACGACATCGGTTTTGCCGCCATGGCTGAACGTACGCATGTTTATAATGGATGTTTGTTATTCAGCCAGAAATTGCCCGTTTAAAATTCCCGACAATCGTGCCGATGTCGCTTTGACGCAGTATGTATGTTGTTTACAGGTCAGTGGTAACTGAACCAAACGCAATGTTGGCATCACTGGGTTTTTGAGCATTGGTAGTACTGCTAATTTATTTTCGTGTTTTAGTTCTGTGTCCGTAGATCGCGTCAGTTGTCTGTCACTTGTCTTCAGGTATTTGTTAAAGGGCGTGATAATATTAATATTATTTAGAAAAAGTTGGTGAGTTTTATGATTGATCCCAGCAAACTATCGTCCGACATCAAGAATAATGATATATGTTATATAACAATAATTAAACTCGTTATTGTCTACCAATCCATTTTTGTGGTAATGATTTTGAGCTAAATATTTGTTCATTACCCTATATTATAACAATGATGCTCCAATGCGAAGTTCAGCTCTTTACCTATATTCGAAAAATATTTGATTCACAGTAATAGATCAAACACTGGAAAAGTAATGTGGCTAGAACATTATCAGACTAAACCTATTCTACGTCGTCGAATCAACAAGTTATGATAGGTATATCGTATATGATCAAATATCAAATATAATTGAAGTATTGTACTATTTCAATTCTGTTGACTGATGGATTCGTAATAGTATCTTTCAAGTTTCGCAGTAGCCTAGTGGTATAAGCGTCTGACAGTTGATTGGATATCCGTTCGATCGCAAGTTCGAGTCCGACTCCCGACTATATCTTTTTTTTATTTCTAACCGAATAGTGTCGGTAGATAGTCGGGCGGCCTACTAGCGGCCGGTGCGACACGGGCTAGCCGGGCCGACGATGTATCATGATTGTGGCCCGCTGATGTTGACTGTCGGCAGTTTTTGGAGGGCGTCCAAAGGCCCGCGCGATACATGTTTGCTGGGAATTCTTGGACCCATTTCAAGAATAGAACTTCACATGAACGTATGTCGCTAAACGTTCTAACTTTTGAGATACGGGGTATCAAAGTTGAAGATGCGCATTCTTTTGTGTCCACCCTGTATTGCTTCTCGTGATGGAGAAATTCAGTCTGCTGAGTGACTGAAACGGTGCAAATGGATGTCCTGAATGGAGTAATCAGCTTAGCATTTACATCAAGATTTCAAGTCAGCTCTCGTTTTTCCCGTTTTTTCTCAAAAACGAAGCGTCCTATCGAGTATCAACAGAAGGATCACAAAATACACCTTGATGTATAGAAAGTATGTACCAAATTTCATAGAGATTTCCACAATATTATTATTATTATCTCAGTCATTATTAAGAAACTGATTTTTTTTCAAAACTTTATCACCCTGTATCTCGAAAGTTACAATTTTTAGGTCATACGTCCATGGGAAGTTCTTTCTAAAAATGAGTCAAACAATCACTCTCTTCAATATAAGCATATCTTCAAGGAACACCCTGTATGTTATTTTTTTGTATATTATCTTTATTAAAAATATAAAAGAAGAGGTAACTTACGCTCAGTGGTACACCAGGCACTAATAACAATTTGTGGCTCAACGGGATAGTACGATTTACATACACGAATGGTGCAACAGCGACATGAACTTTGATTTTCTTGTTATACTCCGGCAACATGGAAGAAAACATCAATCCGGTGGTTGATCCAATAGAGTAGCCCAAAAAGTTTAATTCTTCCTGTTTGGTGGAATTGAGAATGTAATCTATCATGGCGGGGAAGTCCTCGACAGCAATCTCATGCATACTGTAACAGGATAAATAATTCATATTGTGTATGATTTCTGGATATCCACATTGAATAAATCAAATAATTGAACAAGATCACATAAACTTCTTTATTTTATCTGTTGTGGCGCACGAAAGGGAATCCCTATTATTTTTAAAAAACATCGGGCATACCAAGGGAGTGTAGGGTGAATAATTACGAATGATAATGAATGAAAAAATGATGAAAATGCAATACTCCGAAGTACCATAATCAGAAGCATTGAACCACACTATTAAGTTTGCTTCATTATCCATTATCGATAATCACAATGTATAGATATTATCGGTTTATCGATATTATCAAAATTGTCGATACTATCGAATTTATCGATATTATCGATATTTTTGATATTATCAATATCATAGATATCATCGATATTATCGATAATTTTTTATGAATCATCGATATTGTCGATATTTTTTGCATTAAGTACCCAAAAAGAACATTGGGTATGCCATAGATCTAAATTGTATTTAGATCTATGGGTGTGCTAAGGGTAGAAAGCGAAAGCAAATATGAAAATTGAAAATTGGGGATAGTGTTTCAATTGGAATAGATAATAGAAGGCGAACATACTGGCCTTCAGAGAGAATTATACAGATATATTTCGGAAAAGATGGAATACAGAGAGTTGCCAGATTGACGTGAAAGAATGGTGAATTAGTTCGACCGTTACAAAGATTGTATCTATTAGATATTGGAACAGAAGAAGCAGAACTTTTATCATCACAACATCAGGATCACAACGGCGAAGAACATTAAGAAAATGAAGAGAAGAAATTATTTTTACTTTGCCAATTTTTGGTTGGGAGGATGTTGGATATAGTTAATTGAACACACTTTATATGAAAATCAGAAGAGGATCAAGTGATCTAGGGGGGTTGGTGATATGAAAAAATATCAATAAAAGTTATCGATCAGTATAGTAAAAGTATGATTTATATGCCTATTCAATACTCATCTTCCATCGTATACAACAGATAGAAGGTGGCGTTTCTTCTGGAGGAATGTTTACACTGTCAAAATGAATATATGACGCTTAATCCAAAATGTTGATAACATTTTGATGTACGCAAAATAATCGGAATTTTATGATGTGGACATCTTCCCATGAAGAAACAACCGTTACGCCAAGTCGTAAGTCAAAATATTAGACAATAGTTGCCTCCGATATTAACCAATGAAAGCGAAGGTCAATATGCTTCCCTATAACTCCCAATGCTGTCTTAGTTGGAATGAACTATATGAGTGGGCGAATACAATTGACAATCAAGGGATTTATATCGAAAATTATCGAATATCATCAAAAATTTTATCAATAATTATCGATATCATCGATCTTATGGATATTACCGATATTATCAATAAATCTATATCATCGATAATTATATTGTGATTGTGTGGTTTTAGATAAGTATAAAACGTCTTCCTGTGTGGAATTATTCAGGTTCTTACTTACGAAAATTCCCAGTACTCTGAATCACGATCTGGATTCAGCGTTTGATGTTTCCTAGAATATACATTTCCTCTCATATTGCTCAACCAAACATCATATCCAGCATCTGCCAGGATGTAAGCTGGAAGTATTACAACAATAAGTTATGAGTAGTAATGTGCACAACTAAAAATAATTTTTTACGTCGCAAAATTTGTATCCGAACTTCCCAATGATAATCGAACTGACAAATCAAAACTACATAATCATGACATTCTAGAGAGAATCTAGTTCTACAAAATACTTGACAGAATGACTATCACGAAATATCCAATGCCTCTTGTTTGGAAAACGTCCCAAGAATGGGTTTGTTCATCTGTTAGAGACCAAGTGCGATTGGTGAGTTTTATACTTCTAAGAGAGTGCAGGAGGTGTCAATTTCAGAACTTTCAATGCGAATATCTCTCAACATTATAGGGATTCCCTTGCGTGCGCTTCAAGAGATCGAAAAAGTTGAAAAGCACTACCTACTCCATTTGTAAAGAGATACCCCAAATGTAAGGTTAGTTGCATAATAATTTCCTTTCTATCCAAATATTCTTGTACCGGTGAATAGATACTATTGAATGAACGTTTCATTTGTGCAATAACAAAAGTGGTGGTATATATATGATATTTTGAAGTTAGGGTGTGTCGCGAATAAGGGGTGAGTCACCCCTTCACTGAAATATGGTGGTTCCAGTCCGCCTAACTCTATAATAATATTTGTTCCAAACGGCGTTTTTCCAACTTCTTTATTTTACGAGATATTCGCATTGAAAGTTTTCAAAATTGACACCTTGTATATCTGGAGTAATTGATTCAACACATGCATTTAAATGAACGTCGAAAATTCATTACATAAAGTATAACATTCCAATAAAATACATACCTAATAATAATTATTGTTCCATTCATGGACGTATAAACTTTTTTATACGTCCGCATGGTTCCATTAGTATATCAGTTTTGATAGTTTTGTAGATATATACGCATTTTGGGTCAGTGGATATATTTTTGATCACTATTTTTCTTTTACGATTACGGCTTATATGAAATACGGTTCTGATTGAATTAATGTCGCTATAAAGTACGGTTTCGATGAATTAATGCCTCGATGGATACAGTTCCTGTGAAATACGGTTTTTATGAAATATGATTGCGATATTTCAGTGCCGCGACGAATTTCGGTTTTGAGTAATTATTGTTATGATCGGAATGATCGGAAACGTTTCCTACCCAATACCAATGACTTTCGTTTTGATACTTTACATTCCGATGGATAACGTTCCTGCGGAATGAAGTTCCGATCAATTAAGTTTTCTTGTGAATTACCAATCCGATGAAATATATTTCTATGGATTATATGCTTTATATACCGACGTTTTAGGTGTCTCCGATTTATACAGATTACAGATTGTTTATCCAATCGTTACACATAGAAGTATTGAAAAAGAATGGCATTTATGGCAACATGGCAGTACATTGCAGTTTTCATTCTGTTCAGATATTCCAGCGGAGACTGGTGGATACAAACGGTGGCGAAAACAGTCTCTTGCTATGTTGTCATTCATATGCCCTATGTGCGAATTTTTTGTAATATTCATATAATGTTCTTAGAATGTTGCGAAGATTATTGCGGATATAGTAATAATATGAAATTACATTTCTAGAAGCTCCTGAGATATAATATTCCAGAATGTTCATGAAATGATATTTTCAGAATATCATAAGCATTCATGGAATACTCCTTGCGAATATTCTGATGAAATTCTAAAAATACGTTCCTATAAGCTTCTGAAATGGAATATTCCAGAATGACAACGTTCAAATATACTAATTTCAGATTATCCTGATAGAATGTCCTTAGGATAATCATATAATATTTTCATCCTGAAACCTGCAACCACTATTCTTTGAACATTCAAATCGACATATTGTCAGAATATTTCTTTCGAATATTCGGATAATTTATAGAATCGTATCAAATTATGATATTGATGTTATCTTGTATTAATATACAAAGTGTTCCCCTGACCCAAAACTATTATAATACCTAGGGGTTTCCATGTCATTCAGTAAAAAAGTTCGTAGCTCAGTGGTAAAGTTATCAAAGGTTGGTAGTTATATAATCACAAGGGATTAGGTTTGCAAATCTTCCGAGGAGCAAGCTAATTTTAATTTCTTTCCTATAATATACCTACCAGGAATATTCTCTGTATATCTAGAATTGACAGCCCATTTTGTATATCTATAGAACCACAGTTTATGGAATAGTTTTTCTATAAACTGTGATAGAACGTTCCTGGAATATTCTTATAATATTCTGAGAATATTCAAATAATGAGCTATAATTATTTTGATAATGAACCCATACAATGTGCATAGAATATTTGAAGTGTAATGTGGAAATATTTTGAGAACATTTAGATGTTCCATCATGTGCTTCTATGTATATTCTATGAATGTACATGTCGTGCTATTTGAGTGGTGAATGAAAATACTCACGGAGATCTACTTCTGGTCCCCGAAAAACGAGTGCATCAGAAGCGGCAACGAGACCATGTTGAATGAGCACCACTGGCCTCTTGGAGGATGTCGCCTGACCTTTTTTAATGCCACTGGGTATCCGGTGCAGACTCAGAATGTATCCTGAAGCTGAAGTGACCTCATGCGATTCGAATGGGTAACCGTTGCCTTCGATTAGAATTCGCTGAAATGAAAAGGTGCTTCAGAACTGCAAGTTTGTTAGTTTGACATAAGAATAATGTTGCACCAACAAAATTATTTTGGTGAATATTTTCTTGTTGTATTGAATACATTTTTGTTCATTTAACAAAATATTCTTCCTCACTTATCAAAAAAATTAATACCTGCCAATATCTCAGTTATGCTGCTGAAAAAAAAACCCCGATTGGTGATTAGGATTTCCTAGAGTCACTGGATGCTATTAGTTTGATAAGAGTTCGGACACAGAAATGACAACTGTTAGGGTTTTTGAATGTTTAGATTCATTAAGTTACACACCTTGCATTGTGACAATAGCACCATAGTCGTCCCGCGCTTTTTATTCAAATTTGTTTGACAGCAAATTTTATGAACGTCAGATTTGAAATGAAATGTAATAATTATACTTTCGAGGAAAAAGCAGCTATGGAAATCACTTGCTGTGTAATAACGTGTGCCAAATCTGATAAAAATGGATATCATTTATTCAATTTTCCAAAACAAATATCAACCATTCGCTTATGGAAGGAAGATATGAAACGGCCTGGGTGGAAAATCAATTTCAAGACGAGCGAAATTTGTAAGGTACTCATTAAAATTAGCTTCTTATAACAGCATCTGATCACAGAATGAAACTATATTTCAGGTCCAGTTTGGAACAGAAGATTTCAAAATCTGTTTGAGAGAATCTGCCATTCCATCAATTTACAAAGCAGACGATTTCAAAATTCCATTATTATCATCACACGAAATACAGAACAGAATTATCATGGAAAGAGGACATGACCGTAAAATTACATAATGAAATTGGAAATTTGAAAACAAAAGTAAGAAAAGCAAGGAAACTACAACGTGATATATTATTGAATGGCGTTTTTGGTGCCGATCAAATTCAAAATTCAACAGTGAAAAGTGAATTATTCTATATCGATCCATGTTTTACTTAGATGCTTAGCTCCTAAGGCGCTAACTGAAGTTGCTGAGAACTTTTCAGAAAAATGTATTTGGTATATCGATCCATGTTACTTAGATGCTTACCTTCTAAGGCGCTAAGTGAAGTTGCTGAGAACTTTACAGAAAAATTTATTTGGTAGGCCTCGTCAAAATTAACTACTTTTTTCCAAGGGAATGTTTATCAAAAAATGATTTGTCTGTGTTTCATCACCCTCTATCTCCGAAATGAAACATTTCCGGACACAAGCTTATATACACTTTATTTCTTAAAATTGTCTCAGGAATACTTCACTTGAACGTATTTATGTTACTTCCTGTATATTGAGAATACATACAATAAGGATTTATAGCTATGAGTTTATCCATATGTGTATATTTTCTAATATTAAAACGTTGGTACATGCATTCTTCTCATTTATATAACAGTTGTTCTGCTAGAAGTGTATCACTATAAATTTGAGTGGGTGTTTGTACCCTATATCCATTGTCCATCTACGGATATGATTGATTTGACAGAAAATATAACCTCTAAAATCGTATTTGACAATCAGGCGCTTCTAGGGAAATTGAAAAGACAAAGAGCAGAATATATGTCTTATTCTTTTATTCACTTAAACCATTGTATTATAGAAAATAGAAAAGGACAAAAGTTCAGCTGTGTCCGAACTCTCATCAAACTAATACCATCCAGTGACTCTAGGATTTCCCAATTCAGAATTTCTTTCCACGCGTACTGTATGATGAATTTCAATTTGTCATACAGCCAAAAACATGATTATTTGTCTTTCTATTTCTTGCTAGCCTTTATGAAATCATTTGTTGAAATAAAAGTAGTTAATTTTTCTATATCCTTTATGATTTACTGCGAAATTGTGCATAATTTGTGAGATGTACCTAATGATATTTTTAAATCGGTTGTACTCGAAAATGGTACATCTGATCCTCGATCTGATCGATACGGAACAGAAGTACCTTTTTTTTTTGTAAAATACACTCATAATCCGAGACCAAATCGTTTGAGAATTTGCATGAAAAATAACATCTTCAGGAGCTCTCTCCAGAGGCTGCCTCAGGAGCTATTGTTCGACCTATGTTCATTCGTCCTCTTTTTTTTCCTGGTAAAGTTTGGTAGACTAATAATGTATAATAGTTATTTTTGTATCTAGAGCGCGAAATACTACTTTGAGGATCGAGATCTGAGGCGTAGGCGAGTTAAAAAAATAGTCGAGATAGGTAACGTAGGAAACTGAAGAAAAGTGTCACTTCGCAATTTGTTATCGATGCGCGAGCCTTGTCATTTTTTGATGTTTGTAGAAAAATAACTATTTTTGTAATCATTGAATTAGTGACTGTCACTATATCGACTTTAAACCAATATGACATAGTCAAAATATCGTTGGGTCCATCAAACGATCAACAATCTTGCCTTGAACTTGATCAGGGCACAGAATAAGATTCATAAGAATGAAGCAGAGAGAGTGTTTGTGTTTGTACAGGTAAGTACTCTCACCACAATAGTTCCGTGTCAATGACCTTCGATAGTTAGACTAACAGACATATACAGACAACAATGTCGTGAATCGTTGCGTTTTAATCGAACAGGTGATGTCACAACGAAAATAAATGGTATTTCCGCCAAAACGTACCCAAGGTAGTTGCTTTGACATAGGCTAAGTCCCAACTTGATATCCTTAAAACCAAGTATCAGCCGCGAATTTTCAGCAAAGGGCCTGCAAAAACGCATTAATTTCTAGAAAGAAATGAATAACTTCTGCTCGGTTCAAGCGACTTGCAAGAAGTAAACGAATTTATAATGCCTAACCAAGGACAAACTATGTTGAAATTTGCTTTGCAGAAATGTTAGAGGGAACAATAATTTCACAAACTACATATGCTTTGCAGTATCGCGTCGTGTAGGTGAAATATAGCTTTGCCATATCAATGACTCAATCTGTATAATATTAGAACTTCTACAAAATCTCGGAATTGTTGTTATCATCTGATATTGCCAGTTATGAAAATCGTTCACCATCTGGTTCTGTCCTCAACTCTGGCTACGGTCCTGACTCAACGGTGAATAATTTTTGCACCTACTTCTTGATTTTCAATCATCAGTCAGATTTCACGTTTGATCATAGTCATCAGAGGTCTAGGTTTCGTTTATTCTCGTTAAAGAGAAAAACGCAGAGTTAATTTATATCCAATTAACATATTTTTGGTGTTGGTTGGAAATGAGCGAAAGTCTTGGGTACAGTATGACTCATGAGTATGGGAACATCCGTGTTGCTCATGCAGAAGAAATTTTCATGAAGTGTCGCGATTAACGAAGTGTTTTGTACAAATTTTATACGATTCATTATTTGCTGTTCGTGTGTCGTGTATTCTCATCAGATAAATTAATGAAAATTGAGTTCTCAACAGTAATATCACGATGTTCTGAATATTCACTTGTCTAATATGATACTGATTTCTTATAGGCTGATGATGGAAATATGTTTGTCCGAATACATGTTTCCCCATTTCCCCTGATGTGACTTGTTCACATAGTAAACTGTCGTGGAGATGATTTCGAGTTTTATTTAGTTATTACCATCAATAATATAGTTTCCTAGGTCACAAATTCGTAATTTGTACCTATTGTAGTTGTTTTCTTAAAAAAAAATGAACAGTTGTTGCATGAAAATACCATTTCAAAATGTAACATCAATTAATATATCATCTTCGGGTTACTACAAGTGGTAGGAAGTTATTGTTTCATCAATTAATTTTCTCTAGGTAGGTAGATACTAGTAGTAGCGTAGTAAAAGGGGAGGCTATCGCCTAGCAACCCAGCGAGCACAAAAAGTCCGAGATTTCGAGACATTGAACCTCCACTGCGATGTTCTGTTCACACATGAATAGAACTATTATTGAACAGCCCATATCCGCCGCAGGCGGCAATTATCGAGATGTCCTTGATATGTCACAAAACTACCTTCTCCCTAGTTCTTTTTAAAGCCTTTTCATGGACACAACAGAACATTTTCAACGCGTCTTGCGCACATTAAATCGCTGTAAAAAAACCATTTTCGAGGTACTTTTCTGAAGCCTTTTGTCAAAATGAACTTTTGCATTCGGATTCCATTTCCCTTGAATGAAAAAATGCATTAAGAATAGATTGAACATAAAAATATTTTCTTGATACGAAATTACCTTCTTAATCGGTTTCTGAGTAGTGCTTACTACACACAGACATATAATTGGAAATAGGTTTCCCATTTTTGGAATGTTCTCCACAATGCATAATTTTGCAACTGCGGAGAAGCTGATGTGTATTGATGAATTCGTACTTTTATATAGTGATTACACTGAGGCACCGAACAACACATCTTGCATCTGATGGTCATTATTACAAACTAAATAAGTCTTCTAACACAATAAACTTCACCAAATTCCTTTATGTTCGTTAGCAGCGTGATGTAAGCGTGACACGCTGCAAACGCGAATGCCAATTGCGAACAAGGAGAACAAAATCGAAAACAAATCAGAATTCATCGTATTGTGACGTAAGCATGAGACGTTGTGGTGGGGCAAACAAAGAAAGGGCACAAAAGAACAAAAACAATACTTTCAATATCCTTCTAAGACCTCTTTGGGAAGTGCATATTACGCCTCAAAAAAACATCCTCATGAATACATTTCTAAAACATCCCAAAACATCCCAGGGATACCTCTCAGTAGGCAAACAAAGAAATGCCACAGAAGAACAAAAACAATACTTTAATATCCTTCAAAGACCTCTTTGGTCAAAGCATATTACGTCTCAAAATAACATCTTCATGCCAACATTTTCAAAACATTCCAAAACATCCCAGGGATGTTTGTGCTCGCTGGGAAGTAGGTCCCCGTGGGCCCATTATGCTGACCCCACTGCTGGCACACATATTTTATCTCCACTCTTCCTTCTCCTAATTCTCCTTTTCAGAACCTCAGTGACCACCTGATGAAGGTCAGTAAATGTCTGTCCAAGTTAGGTTAATTAAATCTTCCTGT